TATATCCAATAAGGCATGTGTTATACATGCTGTGTGCATTTGTAAATAAGAAATGTTCCATAAAAAAGCAGGTAAGATCAACAATTCATTTTTTTTAAAAAATACAATCAATTATGGTTTTATGAATGCAAAATCCACTCAACTAAAGAAAAAATATGTAAATTCTTTGTTGTAAATTTATTTGGAGCAAAAACTTTAATCAAATTTAATAAAACAAAACGCCACACAACGGATCAACGTAGGGCCATGACTGTGTGCGCAAGCTCACTCCACATTAGCTGTTCTTTCCCAAGCCAGCTGTAATTATGGGCTAAAATTAGTGCCACTGACAGGTGAACTTATTCTTTACAGCAATCAATCATTCACAACATGGACATGCAGTAGATATGACTGGAAACACATGGAATGGTTGCTTGAATCGTTGCCATGGAAAGACAACAAACATGTTTTCTTGTAAATATTTTATTAACAGTTGTGCAAATATATTATTATCATACAATGTTGAAAAAACAATCCAGTATACAGTAGAATACAGGAGTCGTTTGCACGTTTAATACTGGTGTTTGCAGTAAAAAGGTTTGAAAAGGTCTGCGTCATTAATTGTTTATGGAGCTCCAGTGACAATGATAAATCTCCACACTGCTACTATATTTTAACTACTACCAGGCTGAGCTCCAGGGACCAGGAGGTATCCAGAGCAGAGGATATTTTCTTTATCGGGTAAGGCAATACACATTGGTGAACATGGAGTCAATATATATGAAATGCTGTGTTCCCACTTTCAGCCCAGGAATGGAAGAAGATCTTCAGAGAATGAATGACGATAAGGTTTGTCTGAAAGACGCTTGCATGGTTTCTCATCACGTCAGTTACATTACTAACAAAACAACAGAAATATTAAAGTGAAACAGATAACATACATACAATTAATATCATACGTAATACAATATTTCAAACTAGTTTTACAAGGGTAAATTATGCTTTCTGAATTCACAGAATCTATATCCAAATCTTGTGGGACCAGACCTCTTTGCACCTGGATAGAGATGTATGTGTTTCGCCTCTGAATGTATATATTATTCACCATTATTAAGGTTGTGCTTTATTATTATAAGTAAAATTGTTATAATGTGACACTGTGGTATTTGTTTATTTTTGACATACTATATTTTGTTTTACTTTTATGTACAGATGTTAATTATAATTGGTGTCTTTGGTTTTCTTTTATTTGTTTACCTTTTGATTTGGAATTTGTACATACAAACCCAAAGGACAATAAACATTGAATTCAGCTTAACAAATACGTGTAATTTTGAAATGATCCAGTAGATGTCATCATTGTTTATAAAAAAGATTCCATTGATTTTGAATGTGTTGAATGTTCCTTCAGAATGGCTGCAGAAAGGCTCTTTTACTATGAGCTTACACAATTAATCATAATACGTCACCAAAGTTGTCAAACATTTTTCAGGGCGGGTTTGGGCGATCATTTTTATGATAATATGCATATGTTTTCTCATTTGTCTTTTTTGCTCTAACCGATATTTTGAAATTATTACCTACAACATACATTAGAATCTAGAAGATCAAAATGCCCACCACCACACCGCTTTACACATACAGTGTATGAATTGTTGGCAGATGGGCGCCATATACAATCCAGAGATTCCTTGCATTAATAGATAGATTTGTGCAATCGTGTTATTTCTGTTTTCCTTCTCAAAATAAAGTATTGTATAACACAACAAGTTACATTCACAAAATGATATGTTTTAAATCATCAAGCTATAAACAATAGCAGCATGTGGTCAATGTATGAAGCCTGAATACCAATACAAATGAATACCCTTCAAATCATGCAATAATTTTCTACATGTTTGGATATTATAATAGATCCCTGCGTGCATATAGAATTCATAGAATTCCATGGTAGAATACTTCTGCCTCCTGACCCCTGACCCTCAGCTGCACTTCACCTCCTCACCTCCCATTGTGGTCAGTCTTATTACAGGTTGGACTGTTTCCCTGGAGACGAGCTAATGTACGTAAGCTCCACACATACTGTAGATCCATGAGCTCCACCAGGTAAATGTAACGTTTGCTTTCTACATTTATTTTTTATATATTATTAAAGATAGCCCCTGGAGATGAATGAACCATCTCTTCTCCCAAGACAAGACAAAACAATAATTTTACAGGTTCCAGACAGTCAAAAAAAGAACAAAAATCCAAACAAATAACATTCACATTCATTCACCAGACATTCAGCACCGCACTTCCAGACCCTCCCTTCGTTCTTCCCAGCTGACACAGGGCTAAATTACATCAATTGTATACACAGCATATTAATAAAAAAACTACAGTGGTATGGCATAAGAGGAGGGGTGGTAAATTGGGTTGAGAGCTACTTAGAAAATAGACAACAGTTTGTACAGTTTGCTGGCAACATTTCTAACAAACTAAATATTCAGTGTGGAATTCCCCAAGGTTCCATTCTCGGGCCAAAACTCTTTATTTTATATATCAATGACTTATGTTCTGTCTCATCAAAACTTAAATCAGTCTTATTTGCAGATGACACACATTTTTTTCTATCAGGAGATAATATAAAAAAATTAACAAGGACGATGGAAGAGGAAATGATCAAAATAAAAACATGGTTCGATGAGAATAAATTATCATTAAATATAAGCAAAACGAAATTCATGGTGTTTTCAAACAATAACAGTAACACAGACGTCCAGGTGTCAATAAATAGCACAAAAATTGAAAGAGTACAAGAAATAACATTTTTGGGAGTGACAATGGATGAGAAATTAAATTGGAAATCCCATGTAAACCAGGTAAAAAGAAAAATATCAAAACATATCTCGGTACTGCACAAAGTGAAACATTCACTTGATCATAAAGCTCTAAGGCTCCTGTACAGTACCCTGATACTGCCCCATTTCACCTACTGTGTAGAAGTCTGGGGAAATACATACAAACACACCATACATCCTCTAATCCTCTTACAAAAAAAGCAGTGAGAATCATTCATAAAGTGGACTCAAGAGAACACACAAACAACCTATTCATACAATCAAAACTGTTAAAACTAGAGGATCTGATCAAACTACAGTCACTCATTGTGATGTACAAAGCCAGAGACTCTCTGCTGCCAGCAGCTGTACAACAGCTCTTCTCTCTCAATATCAACCAGGACAGTAGAAGGAAGTTACACTTCTCTGTCCCTTTTGCCAGAACCACCCAGAAACACATGGGAATATCAGTGGTCGGAGTAAAACTATGGAATCAACTTGACCATGAAATTAAAAAATCCGCAAACATCCACATGTTTAAGAAAAAAAATCAAAGCAACAACAGTGAAATCGTACAAAATGAATGATTAGAAAAAAACAATAAAAAACAAAGAATTATGAAAACAAAAACACATCAAATAAAAACAGTTTGAAGAAGTGCTAAAGGCCATCTTATTTTTTTCTTTTTTAATTTTTTTTAAAATTTAATTTGTACATGTATGAAGAAAGGGGCAGGCAACATAAGATTTTTTTTCTTCTTTCTGCTCCTTTTCATTTGTGAGACAAGACGACAATTATTTGAAATGTAATTGTAATATGTGTAGTATTGTTTTTGTCCACAATTGAAACAAATAAATAAATAAATAAATAAATTGTAAATTGTTTTAGACTGAGAGCCCCAACTCTTGAATAAAATATTGTGAGAGTTTTCATCACTTAATTTAAGAACACATTGAATAATTGACATTAGAAACCGGCACACAATACATTTAATCTTGTAAATAGAGCTGCTTAAAATTGTGGCAGGGAGGATAGCGACTGCAGTCAAGACAGAATATTCCAGTCTTGAGCAGCTTTAAATCGAAACGCCCTCTTTCCCACCTCTCTTCTCACAATGGGGACTCTGAAATATAGATCATTCAAATTCCAGGTGTGTGTGTGTGGTTCTAAATGAGACCATATGTTGTTTTTTGTAATCAGGGAGATCAGGGTAGATACATTTATTAAAACAAAAAAATAAACTAATTAAATTGTCTCCTTTCTTGGGATATAACTAACGCAGTAAAGGGTATTGTGGTAATTGTTGATTCGATATTGAAGCATTTCTTTCATATTTGGATGCCACCATGGTTCCATGAGACGAATCATAGAGTTGACGCTTCTGTGCAGCGGGCTGTGGTATTCTTCAAACAACATTTGTATAAGTGCGGCGGGTGCCGCAATACGACCATCGTGGTTTCTCCAGAGGCCTTCTTCTCCTTTTGTTGCTCCTTTTAGTTTCCATTGATGTTGTTCATATGCCCCAGCTGCGTTTTGAAGTTCTTTCACATATTGGAGATCGATTAAATGTGATTGTGTGTTCAACTCTTGATTTTTTGTCTTCTTCTTCTTCTTCTTTGATCCTTTGGTCTGTTCTTTGTCTTCTTGAGCGTTTTGCGTTTCCTCTTCTTCTTGAACTTTTTTGGGTTTTTCTTTGTCTTGAGCTTTTTGAGTTTCCTCTTCTTCTTGAACTTCTTTGGGTTTTTCTGGTTTCTGTTGTACGATCATTGTTCTTTTCATGTAGTTGGCAGCCTTTTTTGCAGCTTGGTCTGCAGCTTGGTTTCCTTTGGAGATCCTGTCTTCTCCTTGTGTATGTGCTCTGCATTTCATGATGGCCAGTTTGCTTGGTAGGTTCACTGCATCAATCAGATGTCTCACAAGAACTTCATGTTTTACCGGCAGTCCATTTATCAGTTTGAAGCCATTTCTTATCCATCCAGGAATTGAGATTGTCAATGTCCTGTAAGCATATGCCGAGTCGGTATAGATGTTCGCAGTCCGTCCACTGGCGAGTTGTAGTGCTCGCAGCAGACCTGTAAGTTCAGCCACTTGAGCAGATCCTTGCTCCACTTGTCTTGCTTCCAATACTCTGTGCTCTCCATTTTCCTTTTGTGAGACGACAGCGTATGATGAGATGGTTTCTCCAGTTTGCGCTCTGTATGAGCAGCCATCGCAGAAGAGTGTCATTTCAGCATTTGGAATTGGCTCAAATTGAAGATCAGCTCTTACATATAGTTCAGTATTCGCCAGTTCTTCACAGATATGGTCCGTGCTGTTGCTTTCAGAGTCATTGATCATATGCATGGCCATGTTGATGTTTCCGCTGGCATAGGTGATGTGAGGTTGACGAAGCGTCTGAGTGATGTTGGCAGTTCTTTGGGCTGTGGTGATGAACAGTTTTGAGTTCAAGTATGCTTGGATCCCATGGTTTGTGTGTACCACAAGAGGGTGGTTTTGGACCAGATGTGCTGTCTCCATGATTGTTTTGGTCAATGCTGCCAGATATCTTGCACATCCAGGTTGGGCTTGGTCGTGTGGATCAAGTTTGCAAGAGTAGTGTTTCAGAACTCTTCTTTCTCCTTTTTTCTTCTGATACAATATTCCATAGACATAGAATTGTGATTCAGCCACATCAAGATGAAACGGCAGTGTGTAGTCTGACACATACAGTGCACAGGCGTTACAGACGGCTTGCTTTGTTCTTGTAAAGGAGTTTTCTGCTTCCGTGGTCCAAGTTAAACTTGCAGTTGGTTGGTTCATGCCATGGGGTTTGATCAGTTCTCTTAGAGGTGCAGTCATTGCGGTATAGTTGGGTACATATTCTCGACTGTAGTTGCAAAGTCCGAGAAAACTCAGCATTTGTCGCACCGTTTTTGGTTTTGGTGTCTTCAGAATTGCATCTTTGTTGGAGTCTGAGACTCCCTGTCCAACTGCAGAAACCTCTCTTCCCAAGAAGTACACAGATCTTCGACACATTTGGATTTTCTCCCGCTTCACTTTATAGCCTTTTCTTGCCAGGTGTGTGAGCAGATCAGTGGATGCTTGTAAAACGGACCTTGCATCTGGTCCTGAAATAGCCAGATCATCCACATATTGTATGAGAGTGCACTTCTCAGGAAGGTTAAACTCAGCCAGATCCAGAAGTAGGAAATGGTTGAAGTACCCGGGGGACAGTTTCCATCCTTGGGGCATCCGACAGTAAGTGTATTGTCTCCCCTTCACGGTGAAGGCAAAGTACTTCTGAGATTCTGGATGCAGTTTGATTGTGAAGAAGGCGTTGGCTAGATCAATTACTGTGAAGTACTTGTCGTTCGGAGAAAGGTTGTTCAGTGCGATGTATGGGTCTGGAACAGGGTACGATTCATCAGCTGTTACTTCATTTAGGGGTCTGAAGTCTTGGACCATGCGCCAGTTCTTCAAATCTGACTTCTTCACTGGAAATAGTGGGGTGTTATACTCTGATGTAGTTCCTCTTATAACACCTGCTTTCAACAGTCCTTCAATGGTTTGTGCGATCCCTTGCACTTGTTCTTGTTTCAAGGGGTATTGTGCTCTGTATACTGGAGTGTCAGTTGTCAGTTTGACTTTCACAACATGCGATGTGCATCCCACATCATTGGCATGTGTCATCCATATGTTGGCTGGGACTGCATCCAAGTATCGTTGAGCGTCTGGGTGATTTTCAAAAGTTCTGTGACGCGATTCCTTCAAAGCTCTGGTTATGTCCGTTGACCCGTCTGGCAGTGTGATCCTGAAAATGCCATGTTGTCCATTGTAGGACACTCCAGGGTTGTCGGTTGGTGCATATATCAAAGTGTTTGCCAACTTCACCATTGATCCAAGGGACTTTGCAGTATGGTACTTGGAAACGGCCAACGTCACATGTGGGTCCATGTCGGTTGTTTCGACATAATAGGGCTTCACTTCATCTGGAAGAGTCACAGACAGGGCCATGCCTTTGGGACCACAGTAGATGTATGGGTATGTTACATGGAATGTTTGCCCTTGCACATTGTCCCACAATTCTTCATAACTCTCATCTTCTTGAGTGGTACAGTACAGCGTGGCATGCAGTGGGTCAAACGGTTCTCTCAAGGGGAAATTGGATTTTGCCCATAGCTTGTATCGTTGCCAGAGTGTTGAGGCTGTATTACCATGCTCTGGATCCGTCAGTATAGTGACCAATGATCAGTGAAATAAGTGCATCGGAGTGTGAATCTACCGAGTGAGTTTGTACGAGTGATCAAGGTTATTACTAATTAGAGCAAATTATTACACGTTAAAGATGATCCACATCTTCTGGAACTTTAAAGGAAAAGAACTGTGCCTCTTGATGAACATTATTGATCTCACAATGGAGACATTTACATGTCACATTTGGCATTTTCTTCCCCTTAATCCATTTCTGGGTCGGGGGGGTGGCAGTCAGAGCTGCACCCAGTACACAGAGCACCAGCCCCTCACTGATCCTCCTGCAGGTGGTGAGTCCACAGGAGCTGAGATCTTTCAGTGGGAGCTTCAGGCAAAGTGGGGTTAACACTAGAATTCCCATGGAGGTGCCATTTGGCACTTATACCTATCATCCCCTCCACGGTGCCAAATGACCCCAAGGATTTTAGCTAACAAACGAAATCACCTGTGAACGGCCAACTTTGTTATGTAAATAGGGCCGTTATCACAGGTTGAGCTGAAGTTGCTTCACATTGCCATCTTAGGGGGAGGGGGAGGATCTGAATAGTTAGTTTTTCTCCAGTGGCTTTAGTGCATTTCTCACATCAGACTTAAAGTTATAACAACTATGAGTTCAACCTCCACAACACTGAGTCATTGGTGCACATCATTGCAGCAGTTTCTTTATCCTATGAACAGTTTACAAATACTTTTGTTCATGAATCAGTTACTTTCGAACAATTATCTGCTGTTTTATAACATTATCATGTGCTTCTGTCAGAATGAAACATACTGTTTTATAACGTTATCATGTGCTTCAGTCAGAATGAAACATACTGTTTTATAACATTATCATGTGCTTCAGTCAGAATGACACATACTGTTTTATAACATTATCATGTGCTTCAGTCAGAATGAAACATACTGTTTTATAACATTATCATGTGCTTCAGTCAGAATGAAACATACTGTTTTATAACATTATCATGTGCTTCAGTCAGAATGAAACATACTGTCAAGCTAATTTCATACATTCCTCTATCTTTTTATATCCTGAAAATCCCTCCTAAATTTGAACAATTGCTCTTAGGTGAATTACAGCTTTCACTCATGAAGAGGTGTGTTATATTTGTTAGGATTTAGGCAGACAGAGACGGATCGTGGTGTGCCAAACTCTGGAAGTTTATTTAAGTTTCTCTCAAGTTCCACTGTTTTACTCTGTTTCTTTCTCTCAGACAGAATAAAGGCAGTACACAGTTTATATAGTCATTGTCACGTCACACATCGAAAGACACACGTGTCACAAAGAGACAGTCAAATCATAGTCATAACATGGAGTCCTTGTAGAGTCCTTGTACAGTCCTGCACGTAGGCCATATTGCTATCTAATACTAATACCCTCCCCTTTGATCACATAATCACATGTGATCACTCAAATCGATCAATCAATAAAGTGGAAAAAGAAAAAAATTCTAAAAAAAAAACTTTACAAAATTATTAAAAAACAAAGAAAATGTATGCATTAAACTCATAATCATCAAATCAATATCAGTGGATTTTATCCTCTATCCTGGGAAAAAATAAACAAACAAAAACAAACAAACAAATCAAAAAATAAAAACAAACAAAAATAAAAACAAACAAACACTATTGGACACACAAGAACTCAGCAGATTCAGTCAAAACACAGACAAAAACGAGCTGAGTCTCAAATTTGAAGCTAATTTCACTTTTCTTACTCTATACTTTTATTCTAATGATAATTGTTTACACTACACTTATTTCACTGTATTATTTTCACTTTTCAATCTTAGACTGTGTACTTTACTTTTACTATTCACTATAGTTTAAACTATTCTAATCTATTCACAAATATGTTTGCATATTTGCTTCTATTGAGCCATATTTTTAAACATACATTTTAATCTAACAAATCTCTCTGTGGTTTTATACTCTCATTATCAGTGGCTTATTATCAGTGGGATTTTGCTCCATCTATTCTCATTCTCAGGAATAAAACTGTGAACACAGTAAGGCAAATGGTCAACATTTACACTTCTATAGTGGTCAGTGATTTATTACTTTTTATTATCTAAAGATATTATTGTCAGGCATTTGGGATGGATGTACATCATTAATCAAATTAGTATTATTCTAATAGTAGCTAATCTATTTTAGCAGGTTTGGGGTTGGGGTCAATGTTCTACAATGGTGTTTGTGCTGGAAACTTCTCAAAGATATCCAAATATCTACTATTGTGTTTTTGTGCTACACCCAAATGCATCAAAATGCTTTTAAATGCTTTTGAATCTCTGTTGGTTGTAATCTATCTCATTGATCTAGGCATTAATCTAGGCTACACTCATATGAACTTTTTGTATTGTCAACATTCACTCATGTGTGAGCACAAGTGAATTTGGCAAGTATCTAATAAAACTGTACATAAACTGTAATTAACTTTATCTACTTTTGAAGTAAATGCTTGTGAAATGGTCCCTTTACCATTTGATATTAGCACTGGCTACAAATAATCTCTATTTTTGAAAGCATCTATGGTTGATGCATTTATCTATTCCTATTTCTACTCTACTGTGACTCCAAAGCTCGGCTGCAGTTTGAGCCAAGGCATATTTCTAGTTTGTGACTTCTGTCACTTTTAATAGCTGTAAAATACTCTGATTCTAATATTTTATCTGATCTATCAAAAGGATAACATTGTAGGGTACTATTTTAACTCTTATGTGGAAATATGTTTATGAAAAACAAAGGAAGGACAATTCTACTTTTTTACTACTATTTAACATCTACTAAAACGCTACAATACTCAAACTTTATCATTTTCAAACATTTTAACAGTTGCTCAGTCTACCAGACTAAAAAAGTCAAAGTTTTTGTCTGTCAGATGTCTGAATACTTAACATTTATATTGCATTTGGTCACAGTTTCTGGTTGTAGCAATAGCATCGGCAATAGACGTTTTCATTGGCTGGTTCTTGTTCTGCAAATGGCTGTGTCCAATAGATCATCAGATGTCCAGAAGCTAGGGACAAACAAAAACAAAAGAAAGAATCATGAGTATCTCTCTCATTTAGCACTCATCAATGGCATTATTTCAATAATATAAACATCACTCCCCAGTTTTCTCTCTCTCAGATCCTCAGGTCCTCAGGGTCCTCTGAGGCTGAGTCTCAGTCGTCATCAGGTCAGGTCATCTTGGACATCAGTAGGGTCCAAGCCATAGTTTTGGTCTCCAGATGCACATCAGATCTCCAGATACAGTCTTTTCAGTTGAAGCACATCAGGTCACTTGGGATGCACTTCTGGTCAATGGTGCAGTCTCAGTTCCTGTACACAGCTTGTGATGCAATAGTTACTTTCTATGGTTAAGTCACTTTGATTCTACTTGAACACAATTTCTATTCATGCTGTTGCAAATGTCCCTTAGACAAAAGGCAAGCGCAATGATTCAGTTTACTTCTCTAATTTGTGTTTTTATCAGATCTAATTCTAATCAATGTAATTACTTCACACAGTACAAAATCAACAAATCAAAAGTGTCAGGACAGACGTCAATTATGTCCATGACAATATAGAATTCAAATGAACATTTCTGGTCTCAAAAAATACTGATTCAACTAAAGATTCAAGTGATAGACAATTAAAAATATGTGTTTACATTGGAGTAAACTTTTAAAATGCTTTTTTCCTCATGTTCTGCTTTTTCATGTATCTATATGTAAATGTGAATGTGTGAGTGTATGTGTGTGTATGTGTGTGTGTGTGTGTATGTGAATTTTGGGGTTGTTTCTCCAGACTCCTCGAACCACCCGTAGGTGTCAAAGGTCACACTGTGGTGATGTAAACCACGTAGACACACTCTCAACTCCCTCTAGGTCTCTACCTGACGCTCCACCCATCACGTCTCCAGAAACCTCTCTTTCATGGCCCCGGTCTCTCTCCCACTTACTTCTGTAGTGGGGGGAGGGGCAACGAGGTGGCATTTCCCTTTGCTCTTAGCTCTGTGACCTGTGGCTGGGTGGGCTTTGCGCTGTCCAGTGTCCAGCAGTGACCCCTCCCACAGTGTGCCAGAGTCTGAAAAACAATCCTTGAAACAGCCAATTTAAAAAAACAATAGATATCAGTATGCGAATGAGATTGTTTTTCTCTCTGAAGTCAAAACAATTTGAGCGCTCTGGGTTTTCCCAAGCGCTATGTAAATAAAGATTACTTATTCTCTTACTAATGATGACATTTTAAAACCAGAAACTAAAGAAGTTATCAAAACAACAATTATACTCAAAACAAACAACCTTTTAAACTTTAAAACATGTATTATATACTTTTGTACTGTGTGATTAATTATCTATGCGTCCTTGGGTTTCTTGAAAGACGCCATGAAATGAAATTATGAAAAATCTCTATAAAAATGAACATTAATTTGTAAAAACATTTAAAACAAAACTTGAAATCAAACAAAAGATTTAGCTCCAGCTACACTGGATTTGGTTCAATAAAACTCAATTGTGCGTCGGAGCTGCCTCCTCATGTCTCTGAGCAGCAGCAAGGTCACGCGTGTAGTCAAAACAAAAACAAAAGTCACCACTTGCATGTGAATTGGGTAGTTTAACTTAATAATATAATACTTTTACAGCCTAATTCCCTCTTTCTTTTTTAGACGAAGTCTACAATCATTAATCACTTTTAACAGATTCTAATTTAAATGTTTGAAAAACGGCTTTTGTAACTAAAATAAAAACATTAAAAAAATTCTCACTAACAGCTATGAAATATATCAGAGATACAATAATGGACTCACAAAATAAGCAGCAGATTTAAAAAGAAAAGCAAAGCTTTTTGTACTAATCTTTGGGTTTCAAAAACATACTAATTCAAAACTTCTATTCCCTAATGGTGTTTAAAAACGTTTAACTGTGTCTAACACAATGTTCAAATGGCAAATTTAGCAAATTTAACGGAATAACAACTATGAAAAGCCAAATTCCTAAAGCAGTAGCTCCCCTTTAAATCAGAGCAGCAGCTCAGCAGCAGCGAGGGCGGGGGGGTTCCTTTCACACAGACGCGCACACACAGGCAGAAAGATACAGAAGAATAACTTTCAAGATTACTTTGTTAAGCGAATATAACTGATGTTGTTCTTTATACTTTTGTCATCCAAATCTAGAAGTGATCACTTTCCACACTAGTAACAAAAGGCACTCTTGTCTTTAACGTACGCTTCTATTTTATCGAGGTAGCAAACTAATTTAAACTCAAAATCTCTTTCTAAAAAACAAAAACAACTGTTGGATACATCCCTCTCATAGCTCAACTGTAGATAAAACTCGGCAAAAAATGTAAATAACTCACGAAAGCTCTCATAGCTCAACTTTAGATAAAACTCTGCATTCTCCGGTGAACTCTGTTCACTCCAAAAACAAAAACTCCCTTTTTCTGTATGTAATTTAAACCGTGATCACTGAAATATTGTTGATTCTTTACTTTTGTCATTTATCAGCTTGAAATTCGTCAATTTCAAAGCTTTTGTAACAAAGGTCTCTTTAACACATTTCCCTTTTTATTGCTTTTATTATTACACCATGGTTTCACTAACTATTTTCTATTCTCTATTCTCTGCCCCGGCTACTCCAAAGGCAGGGACCCCGATACGTCAGGGGTTCCTTTCTCTCTCTGCCCCGGCTACTCCAAAGGCAGGGACCCCGATACGTCAGGGGTTCCTTTCTCTCTGTCCTGACTACTTCAAAGGACAGGGACCCCGATACGTCAGGGGTTCCTTTTTCTCTCTGTCCTGACTACTTCAAAGGACAGGGACCCCGATACGTCAGGGGTTCCTTTTTCTCTCTGTCCTGACTACTTCAAAGGACAGGGACCCCGATACGTCAGGGGTTCCTTTTTCCTATAGGGACTGGTTACCCACACAGCTAACCTGTTTTCTACAACATAAGACATGACAAAGACGTGACAAAGACACAACAAAGAAAATTTGATTTAGAGAGAGTTGGACAGACCTCCGGGACAGCTCAAAATTTAGCTAGTATCCAATTATGCAGACTTTACATATTAAGAAAGGTGTCTGCTTACCTTCATTCTTTGTCCGGACTGTTCGAGAGGTCGACCAACATCTTTTCCGCGTCGAAAAATTCAATTTAAAAAACAAAAGTGACAGAAGCGACAAGAAGCATCCAGGAACAGCTCTTCCAGCCTGCTGGAATCTCCGCTCCCAGACACAGCATGCCGATCTCTCACGCAGAGGAAAAGAAACAGAGCAAGCTCCCTCAAAACAATCCAGAGAATGGCACAAACCGAGCCGCGCATTCTCCACCAAATCTGTTAGGATTTAGCAGAGAGAGACGGATCGTGGTGTGCCAAACTCTGGAAGTTTATTTAAGTTTCTCTCAAGTTCCACTGTTTTACTCTGTTTCTTTCTCTCAGACAGAATAAAGGCAGTACACAGTTTATATAGTCATTGTCACGTCACACATCGAAAGACATACGTGTCACAAAGAGACAGTCACATCATAGTCATAACATGGAGTCCTTGTAGAGTCCTTGTAGAGTCCTGCACGTAGGCCATATTGCTATCTAATACTAATAAATATATAAAAAATACCTGTACACAGTTTGAAGCAAAAATCTCACATGAATCCGATCCCCTTCAGAGCAAAACTGACAATATTCAATCCATGTCATGACACTGTTCTCTCATGAAAATGCCCGACAAAGACCCATGGAAACCTCATAAACCAATAAGTCATTATGGATAGAGCTACTACAAAGTTTGTTTCTGTATTTGGCTCCTTCCTCACTTTTCATTTTGCTTTCGTTCTTTCGTCTGTGCTTGAGTTTTGTATCGAAGTGATGTGTGTCAACGGCCTCTCAAAGCGCTCCACAGAAGTAATTCTTCATTCACTCCAGGCTCCCCTGAGGCTCCGCTGAGGCTCCGCTGAGGCTCCGCTGAGGCTCCGCTGAGGCTCCGCTGAGGCTCCGCTGAGGCCCCGCTGAGGCCCCGCTGAGGCTGCCAGACGCCGCCATCGGAGATTGTGATGATAAAATGCTCTATTATGACCATAAGCTCCAGGTGAACTAGAGGCGTGAGCTACTCTTTTGAATGCGCTGGGAACAGCAGGACCCGGCCGGTCCGGTGGGTCCGGTGGGTCCGGTGGGTCCGGTGGGTCCGGTGGGTCCGGTGGGTCCGGTGGTTACATTTTCTCTGATGAGGGTGTAGATATTTAGGATTTTGTTTATTCTTTTTGATGCTTCATCAGATCTCTGTAAAGGGTTGGTTCAATGTCGGCCCAATGTATTTGTTTTGGCTGACCCACCTGGTCCACTTTAGACTTGATTGCTTTGGGATTTTTGTGTTCTGGACCGGGTGTTTTTATTTTTTGCATTTCTTTGTTAAAATCAAGAGTTCACTCTAAAAAGAAAATGTATAAATAAAAATAAATGTTGAACTCTGGACCTTTCTCTGTGTCCACAAATATGTTTTGTTCTTTGGGTCGTGACTGGACATAATGTACCGAAGAGGCGTCAAACTCATTTGGTTGGGGCCAAAAGTACTTTTATTTTCTATTTTTATTTTTTACATATTTTTGTAAGTTTGGATATTATTTTCAAGTAGGTTTGGATTCAACCACAAATGGGTCACAGTTTTTGATTTAAAAAAAAACTTTATTAACTTCTATTAACATGTTGGTTAAAATTTTATTTGGTTGCATTACTGAGAAAATAAGCTTTATAATTAAGTATAACATGCCAAGGTTTTCCTTTAGTATTCCATAATTCCATAGTATAACATATAATTGCAAATAATTTCAGGGGCCACTAAAAATGGCTTTACGGGGCCGGATTTGGCCAACGAGTGTGATATGCCTGATGCACAGTATAATAAGTCCATTCATCCAGTTTCTTCTGCTTTATCCATTGCCGGGTCACAGGCAGAAAATAAACAAGTATCATTCTCATAAGAACAAGTTCTCTTCAGTCTTTGCACCAAAACAAAACAGAGTGTGGCTAAAACTATGCAATCGGCCGCTGCAAACACCAGCCTCCGGGGCTTTGCCGTTTTTAAAGCAAACCTATTTCTATAGACTGAGTGGGAAGGGTGCCACCATCGATTCAGCAGACCCTGTCCGGCCATCATCCATCCTGCTCTCAGCCCCAATCAAAGCCTAGTCTCACATCAAATCCACCGCGGCCGACCCCATCCCCAGAACCGCAGCCTCTTAATGATCCAATCTCAGGACACACTGTGAGCAAAAGGACACCATAATAACACCGCCACAGACACGGGGAGCGGGACGACACACAAAGCAGATATAATGACAGCCAATCACTGCAGCCAGCTTCATCTGGGCAACCGCCGAGGAGAGAATGCAACCATTAGCTACGTAATTATCTAAAAGGGAAAGATTACAATTACTGCACACTAAAAATGAGCAATACGGATGAAAAATCAGGGATACAGCAATGACACACTTGCTTTTGGTCGTCTCGTCTGTGAGCTGCCTCGTCCATGAGCTCAGTGAGAATGATAAATAATATTGACAGAAATTATAAATGACTATAGCAGAATATGAACATCCTTTGTCTTAAAATGTTGTGAATGTTACTTTACACTTACTCCTTAATTTGCTAAAGTCAGGTGTTTTTCATCAGGCTAAAGTTGGAGATTTTAAGACTTATTTCCTTATTATGCGAGGGTCAGGGGTTTTTGTACTTAAAGCTATACAGGAGGATTTTTACCTCTGGGTGGATCATCAAGACTATTGGTCCTCCCAGCTGTCAATCATTCTGGTGATACGTGCTCGTCAAATAGTTTTGTTCAAAAAGTGGGGAAATCCTTCTCTATAAAGTCTTGCTTCTTCATCAGGCTACATTTTGAGTTTTTAAGACTTTTTTCCCTATTATTCTAAAGATAGAGATTTTATACAGCTTCTTTTTATGCTAGAGTTAGCTATTTTATTATATTTTTTTTTAATATTGAGTTTTTGTTCATTTATCCTTTTCTGTGTGTGATTCTCATTCCTACTGATCTGTATCGTGATGCAACACTGACATTTCCCCGCTGTGGGACAAATAAAGGATCTCTTCATCTTAATCTTAATAATGCTAAAGATAATATATTTATTTATTAAAGGTCCAGTTATAATATGAAAGGTCATAATTATAACTGGACCTTTTTATCTGGTTTCCCAATCTTTGCAATATAAAGTCAGAAATCCTGAACGATGCACACATTTTCTTGCTAAAATTTTAAAGAGGAGACCTACACATGCAACAGATGTGTGTTATGCAAATGTGCGGTAACCTAGCAACGGCACTATCTTAACCAAGCGCGTTTAAGGACCCTCATCACGTTTGCTCTTCTTTGGAAATCTGTTGTGTTCAATCAATTCAATACGAGGACGAAACAGAAACGGTGACTCTGGTGTTTTGGTGAAATTCAGAAATCTGGAGGTGTCGGCTCGAAAAGGTCCATGAGCACTGGCGCAGACATATTTGCAATCTCACTCCTTAGCGGTGGGGGTGTACCTGGAAAGAGAATTACCCAATGCTTTTGTATGGCGTCTTCTTTTCTCTCAAAAACCTCTTTATAGGACGGTCCAAAAGTTGCTCTTGGTCCAGATGCTGTCGATGCTGAGGGGAGTATTTTTTTGGACCAGTCTAGTTTAGCTGCTGTGGACTTTTGATTGCACTCGTTAAATGAATGGGGCTCATGCCAGCTTGATTTCTTTCACATTTTCCTACCCGGCGGCCATTTTGGAAAAGCCCACAAAACGCAAAAGTGGTGGCACATTAGTTTCAACAGCGGAGATAGCGGTGAGACAGTTCAAATGTACAGTCTATGGTCTGTACTGGGCCATCACACAATCCACTGGGAGGACAATGGTGTCTGCAGAGGTGGGAGCCGAGGCGGTTGGTGTCCCCTTACACCCGAGAAGGTGCAGCAGGCCACTTCACTTACAAAACCAAAGAAACCGACCTGGGAGCAACATCAGAATCAGATTTTATTGCTATTATTTGCAGCAAAACCACACTGGAATAGGATTGGAAAAGTCCCCAGTGTGCACAAGACTGTACATACATAAGTCAAACTAAAATCGATTTCAGGTTCAATAAAAGTGCAAGATAAATTAATGAATCTGAAGAGCAGCAGGCTACTTCACTTTGAAAACAAGTGTTATTATTATGATGATTCTTCAATATTTAGTTATTTTTTATGAGTTTATTATTTAATTTTTTTCAATCCACATATATGTATTTTTTTAATGTTATATTTTTCTTTGCATTCTAATTGTTACCTTGTTATGTTTTTGAATTGTGACATTTTGACCAATCAAACTCAAAGGCGAAAACTCAAAAACAAAACAAAAGATACCGACCTGGGAGCAACATGGTGGACACCATCTCTGCATCCTCCAACAAGTCGATCACACAGCGCTGGAAGTCCTTACTGCTGTTGGACTGGAGGTAGCTGCAGGGGCCACAGGCAAATATCAAAAGGAACATTAAAAAGTCGTTTAAAGTGGAGAGCTCTAACACATTCAAATCCAAAAGCCTGAAATGTTTTATTCAGACTGTCAAAGTCCCAGTCACCGATCCACAAAGGAAAGCTCGTACGGTTGTCAGCGTGGGCCAATTTTCTGTGCGGGAAGTGCACACAGCCATTATTTCTTTTGTTCAGATTTCACAGAGAATGATGTTTTTATTACTAGCCTTAAACACAATGTCACAGTTCAATTATGCCGGAGGTCTAGGGGCATTTGAGAAGTTACAGAAGTAAAACATACTCAATGTTTTGTAAGGATCACCGCAAAAATTACAAAGAGCCACAACAATAATTATGGGTTGATAGTTGAGAAGTGCTTAGTGTGTTTTTTTTGTTGCGAAAGCTGCTATAGGATAAGATTGTTTCTCCATATTTTGACGAATCTTGTTGTTTGATTATTAAAGGAGCAGTCTGTAAAAATCTGGCCAAAGGTGGTACTGCAGCCTCTCCCACTCTCCCTGACTCAGGTTGCCAGATATGCAGACGAATCCAGCTGGGACCATAACAGCTGAATAGACAAGAGTTTAGTCAACAACAAATCTATAACCAACACCTTTTTCACAAAGATAGAAATCCTGGTTTTATTCCTTGTTTTGTCGTTAATGATTTGAGAATCATAACGAGACCTTTTTTAGTTCTGCGCCACATGGTACTTTACCAGTGAGATTAGCTCCACACAGTGAGTTCTGGCGCCCCGATCACAGACTTTCTGATTGGTGAAACGGTGGAGGGCGGGACATCAAAATGACAACAAAAACAAGATTTAGGGGCTGGAAAAGTCATTTAGAAATTCAAATATCTCTGAACTATTGTTATCAGTTAAAGAAGTATTGGAAAAGAACATGTTTTATTAAAGCCTTTTGACAGATTAGTGCCCTTTAATGATGACTTGACATGAAAATCTTACATATTGCTACTTTACATACATGTATTTTGACAGAATTTAATCTTTGACCTCTGGATCATATTTCTTTTTGGTGTTTTTGCCGCATCGTCAGATTAGGTGGTGTAAGATAACAACAGACCGCTTGGCTCTCAGGACTGAAGCAGATGGCAGCATTTACACAAACACACACACGTACACACAGACAGACACACACGTACACACACACACACACACACACACGTATACACAGACAGACACACACGTACACACACACACCACACAAACACACGACTATACACGGTGTACTGACCTCATCCAGGAGAGATGATCCTGCCAGAACTCATACATTATGTAAGACGACTTTCCTGGGAGCTTCTGAACTGACACACTGACACCAGAATCGACCAGAGAAAAGATAGATACAGAAATCCAATATTAGCTAAAGAACATCAAAGTGAATCGACTTTCCAAAGCAGAGAAGGAATATGTCATGGCATTTTAATTATACATTCAGAGATTTATAGAGTAAGGGCTAGGACAGAGCAGACGCCCTTCCTTTAGTGTTAGAGCAAGTCCATGCTAATGTTCAACACTTTTCAACACAGGGACTGGTCTCCTGCTGGGACTCTGAGGAGCACAGGGACTGGTCTCCTGCTGAGACTGAGGAGCACAGGGACTGGCCTCCTGCTGGGACTCTGAGGAGCACAGGGACTGGACTCCTGCTGGGACTCTGAGGAGCACAGGGACTGGACTCCTGCTGGGACTCTGAGGAGCACAGGGACTGGACTCCTGCTGGGACTCTGAGGAGCACAGGGACTGGAATCCTGCTGGGACTCTGAGGAGCACTGGACTCCTGCTGGGACTCTGAGGAGCACAGGGACTGGACTCCTGCTGGGACTCTGAGGAGCACAGGGACTCTGAGGAGCACAGGGACTGGCCTCCTGCTGGGACTCTGAGGAGCACAGGGACTGGACTCCTGCTGGGACTCTGAGGAGCACAGGGACTGGACTCCTGCTGGGACTCTGAGGAGCACAGGGACTCTGAGGAGCACAGGGACTGGCCTCCTGCTGGGACTCTGAGGAGCACAGGGACTGGACTCCTGCTGGGACTCTGAGGAGCACAGGGACTGGCCTCCTGCTGAGACTCTGAGGAGCACAGGGACTGGACTCCTGCTGGTGCCCAGAGTCAGGACTAAACATAGAGAGTCTGCATTTCAGATTCATGCTGCTAAAATCTGGATCAATCTTCCTGAAAACGTGATACCGACTTCTTCTTTGATGTTCAAATGTTCAAATCCAGGTTAAAAACAGTTCGGTTTAGCAGTGCTACAAATGCGGGATTTAATATTTTCTCTTTTTAATATACTGTGATTAGTTATTGAGAGATTATTTTTAAATGATGAACGAATACTTACTTATTTTTGTATTAAATCATTGTACCTTTCTTTAAAGACAGAAAAACTTTGGTACGAAGTCAGGACTATGCCTAAAAATGGCAAATACATTTTAATGCCTTGTGTGACTGCACTTTGACTCAGCACTTTGAGTTGCCTTGTGTTTGAATGGTGCTATACAGATAAACTTGCCTTGCCTTGTCCTAGATCTATGGAACCACACAGTCCCCGCTGACGGAGGCTCTGTTTTTAGGTCTGCGGGGGCTTGACCAGGGAACAGCAACACAACCTGAATAATAACGTGTGGCCCTTGTTAAAACCATTGCTCACAGCTACATGGAGCTGCAGAGACATCGCGGCCCGTCTGAGTCACCGAAGTGGGCGTCCCTGAATCACATCACAGTTGCCGCAGAGACCCGTGTTTTCTGTATTTTTCTTTGTGTTTTCGACTAATGAGCAAGGCACACTCACTGCAGGTTGTCGGTGTTGGACGCCGTGGCCGCGAGATAACTCTTCAAAACCATCTGAAACTTGTCTGCGTAGTCGTCGATCACGGACATCTGCCTCTGAACCAGCAGGATGTTCTGTGGGCGAAAGAAAGGACAGTTAATGTGATCAAACTCTGCTCTTTTGCTCGGAAAGCTGATTATAATGATGTCTTCTGTCGTTTGTCTTCATGTTTAATGCGGCAGACTGGTTTTGTTTAGGAGTGAGAACAGCTGCACGAGATAAGAGCTGGAATAATAGACCGACCGCTGTCAAAATGGTGAAATGAGAAGGCCCTGTTGCCAAGATACTAATACAAGTTTTTCATTTTGGTCCTGGAAAAAAGAAACAGAATGGAAAATAATAAAACAGAGAGTCATGGTTTAGTTTTATTTTGTAACTGGTTACTCGCTGAGTCTTCTGTTACTGTACTTCCTGTTTACCTGATTCCCAGCCCCGCCCTCATGAGTCTGACCTGTCTCTCATCAGTCTGTATTTAAACCCTGTAAACCTTGTGTCTTGTCATCCCACTTCTGATTCAGTTCGTGTCCTTGCTCCTGCTCAAAGTCGAGCATAAAAACAGAAACTCAAAAGTAACGCAGAAGAACTTGGCTTTCTTGATAGAGTAACTAAGTAAAGTAACAGGATACTTTTAAAAATAAGTAACAAGAAAACTTACTTTTCTAACACTCTTACTTTTCCCCAACACTGACAGTTCATTATAATGAAGATCTCTGCATTGAGACATATGCAGATCCAAAAGCCATGGATGAGCCATCATTAGGCTGGAAAGAGTCTAAGTGTATTTATAAACCTGACTGTAAGCTATATTCATAATATAATGTAATAACCAAACAGATGCAAAAATAAAAACAGTAAAGACACATCTACTTTCTGCTCGATGGATATTTAGAAGTTAATTAATGAACAATCAATAAAAATGGGTTGGGCTTTAGGGAAACCATAAAGGACACAAGGGCATTTTTTTTAAATATAATTAGTTTCAGTGTCTATTACTGTAGCTGTCAGTGATAAAGATGTCCGAGAAAGTAAGCTACAACAAAGGAATGTTTTTGACTGGCTGCAGGGGAGAAGAGCGGGCGCAGTAAAATGGCTGCACATTCAGAGAGAGCAGCAGCAGGACACAAACATGGTCATTATTTTAGCTATAAACATTCAGGACTTACAAACATAGACTGTAGGTGATCTCCAAGCTGGTTATTGGAGAGCTTATATTTTATGGGAGTAATACATATGCACACAAATGATATGTTTTATAATAATACGTAATAGGGCTGGGCAATAAATCGAATTTTGGCAATTAATCGGCTTTTGAAAAAATCGAATTCGTGAAAAATGTGAAAATCGTGAAATCGAATGAGGGATATTGTGAGAGTTCCAGCAGCACATCAATTATACTTGCGATATCAGCACAGTCTGTACAAGACTTTTATAATATGTATTGGGGGAAACAAATAAAAAAATAGTTTTTAAACTTAAATATTGAGCGGGAAGATAAAAAATATTTTAAGGGCAAAGTCTGTCTTGAGTGACTTTAATGAAAATCGATTTAAAATCAACATCGTCCAAAGCAGGAAATAAAATCGAGATTATACTTTTTTGCCATATCGCCCAGCCCTAATACGTAATATGCAAAGATAAATGCAACAAAACAATTAATTACACTAGTGCGGTCCAGCAAAGTAACACAACAAATACAATGAGACCAGGAGTTAAACAGTTCAGGGAGCTTAGAGGGCCACCTTCTGACCATAGATCATAGAAGGCGTGGACTATGTGACATCACCCATAGTTTTTGCCGAATTAGGGATTTGAACAGTGGTCATCCGGGCAGGTTTTGAGCACAATAACTTATATGCACATTTGTTACGAGGGGGTTACAAATATGCATATAAGAAAACAAACCAAGATCAATTGCTCTAAATAGTGATACGAATGGTTTCTGAACTGGAGGAGTTTAGTTTTCAATGTCGATGAGAGTAAAAACTGGATTGAGCAACATTCAGGTGTGCTTCCAATGTTTTTGCTTCACACCGATGTGGATTTATCTTCACACAGGATCATAATTGGTCTGGTTTATATATTTTTTTAAAGTCAAGGTTTCAGAACTGCCCACTTCCTCAAACCTCAGACACACTACTTTCTTGGGATTGTGTAGAACCACTGACTTTGTCCATTATTCATCAATGATTATAAAGTTCTGCCGGACCAGTAATTATCGTGGGATCCCTCTCCTCAGCCTCCCCGTTAAGATTTACTCTAAGGTACTGGAGAGGAGACTTTGACCGATAGTCTAATCTCGGATTCAGGAGGAACAGTGTGGTTTCTGTCCCGGCTGCAGAACACTAGACCAGCTCCGTGCCCTTCATTGGATAAGATAAGACATCCTTTATAATCGAATAATCAAGGCTGCGTTGATGCGTCTGCGGTGCAAAAAACAGCTTTAGACTGCTCCCCCCGCGACCCGGCAACGTAAAAAGCAGAAGAAAATGAATTGATGGATTATTAAGGAAGGTTCTGATAATAATTCAATAGTCACAAACAGTCACTGAACCTGTTGTTATTATTACTATTGTTTATTCTGCTCAAATTCTCAGCTGCTTTAAGTACAATATACACATCTGTAAATATCTCTAAACAAAATGACATTATAGCTACAGAGTTTTATTTTATTGTGTGCAATCAGAGTCTTAATCTTAGGGCGGCACGGTGGCTGAGTGGATAGCACTCTCGCCTCTCAGCAAGAAGGTCCTGGGTTCAAATCCCGGTTGGACCAGGGCCTTTCTGAGTGGAGTTTGCATGTTCTCCCCCGTGTCTGCGTAGGTTTCCTCCGGGTGCTCCGGTTTCCCCTACCACTAAAAATATGTACAATAGGTATGGCATGTGCCTCCTGTTTTGGCACCCCCACTCCCAAAAATAACAATTGTAAACCGCTTTGAGACTCCGATGTGCAGTGAAAAGGCGGTATATAAATAAAGATTACTTACTTACTACTTACTTAATGAAATTCCACATGGGAGGAATAAAGGAAATATCTTATCTTATATGTATTCTCTCAATCTAAAGTCTTGAGGTGAAAAAGTATAGTTTAAATATCAGAATCCTGCAGACCCATTTGAGTTTTGAGCCTAAACAGTAATCCATGCAGTTCAGTCACATTTCCATAACCCACAGTTGGAGGGTTTCGTCCAAGAAGCAGAGCGCCAGATTCTCACACATCACACCTCAAAAGTAAGTAAGTAATCTTTATTTATTTTTCACTGCAGATCAGAGTCTCAAAGCGGTTTACAATTGTTAATTTTGGGCATTTGTCTCTCACTCCACACAGAGATGGGAGCGGGGTCGCCAGTATAGGAGGCGCATGCTAGAACTATTGGACATATTTTTAGTGGTAGGGGAAACCGGAGTACCCGGAGGAAACCTACGCAGACACGGGGAGAACATGCAAACTCCACTCAGAAAGGCCCTGGTCCGACCGGGATTCGAACTCCAGTGAAAATCTCAGGTGAATGTTCTTATCGCAACCCACTCACCGACTGAGGGCCGGCCTGCGTGTCCTCGCGGAGTGGCTCCAACTTGGGACCCTGCAGATTCAACAAAAAGTCAAATTATACTGGAACATATGGAGCGTGGGTGTCAAAGTCAGTCTGGCTCGTGAATGAGTCTCTCGGCCCCGGGATGATATTTGGTTTGAAAGAGAAACAGCCGCAGAGACGTGAGGAAACATTGGATTATTCATTGAATGTTTAGGACATGTGTTTTCTCTTTGAAGTTTATTTTGTCAGTAATTACAACTGAATATATATTTTAACAGCCTCACAAAGCCGTACAAAATATTGGATTATTAAGAGAATAATTAAATATATGCTAGGATTCGGCAGTGATAAAATGTAATGCTTGGAACTCACTTTTATTGAGAGCTCTTCCTTTAACTGTCTCTACAAGATCTTCCTCATTTGTTTTTGAAAAGTTCATTTAAAAAAACATTAGAAATATATTGAATCGGTAATAACAAAAATTGTTGAACTAGAAGATTTTTTTTGACAAATTTTCAAAATGACGATATCTGTCATGGTGTGGAATTGGTATTGTATTTTTGCGTTCATTACATTTTGAAGGGAAATATAAAATCAAAATAAGGCTTTTTTGCTCTTTCAGGCACACGGCAATATACAAAAATAAACTGTTATTGTTTTATTGCTTATATGACAGAACCTTTTTAATTCAGAGGTTTACGATGAGGATTTGACAATTTTTCAAAATGGCAATATCTGTAATGGTGTGGTGTTTTAGTTATGTTGTGCTTCAATTCTCTGTGTTTTTTTAAAAAATGTTATACAAAGTCAAACGACGAAAAGAAAACCACAGAGAACACGGGTCAAGATAAAAGGTAGTAAAAAATAAATAAAAAAATACATATACAGCAGATATCTACTTTGGGCTAATATATTCCACTGTATGTGAGAACAGACGAAAAAGTAAATAAAGCCAACATGACCTCAGCTATCTGTCTTTTCTGTGTGTGGAAGGTCAGGGAGACGGACAGCCCTGATATATTAAGGCACACGTCCAACATCCTGCCGGTTATGAAACGTCTACGATATTGCATTTTTGAGTCCCGCTAGGAAAGGCAAATACAGAGGTACACAACGAGAAAAACGCTTTGGGAGAGCTCCACAATAATAACCAGAAGAGAACATCAATAAATATGAAATCAAAAGTTAATAAAGAGTAAGCGTGGAGCTGGATGTAACGGGGCAGAAGCACACGGGACAGACACGGGACATTACACAAGCCGGAGGTACGAGTGGGATGAGGTCGTGTGATCAGACTAAAGTAAGCGTGTCTCTGTTGCCGTGACTCCCGAGGCTGAACGCAAACCTCAGTGCAATGAAGATGAATCTATAGAAAGGCCAATAATACTGTTAGTTTACAGTCATATGATTCACTTTTAAAGGAGCAGTGTGTAAAAATGTGGCCAAAAGTGGTACTGCAGCCTCTCCCACTCTCCCTGACTCAGGTTGCCAGATATGCAGACGAATCCAGCTGGGACCATAAGGCAAGGCAAGGCAAGTTTATTTGTATAGCACAATTCATACACAAGGCAACTCAAAGAGCTGAACAAGATAGCATTAAAATCATAAATAATCACAGAACATTAAAACGAAAGATAAAAATATAAAATCCCTCAGTTGTATGCACAGCTATACAGCACCGTTTTTAACTTGGTTTTAAACATTGTCAGAGAGGAGGCCTGTCTCACATCTTCAGGAAGATTGTTCCAGATTTTAGCAGCATGAATCTGAAAAGCAGCCTCCCCATGTTTAGTTCTGACTCTGGGCACTAACAGGAGTCCAGTCCCTGTGCTCCTCAGAGTCCGGGCTGGTTCATATGGGACTAACATGTCGCTAATATATTTTGGTGCGAGGCCATGGTGAGACTTGTACACAAGCAGAGCTGTTTAAAGTCTATTCTCTGAGCCACAGGAAGCCAGTGCAGAGACCTGAGGACCGGACTAATATGGTCGTACTTCCTGGTTCTAGTCAGGACTCGAGCTGCTGCATTTTGAATGTACTGCAGCTGTTTTACAGCCTGTTTGGACAGACCTGTGAGCAGGCCATTGCAGTAGTCTAACCTACTGGAGACAAATGCATGGATAAGAATCTCCAAGTCTGCTTTAGACACTATGTTTTTGATCCTGGCAATGTTTTTTAGATGGTAAAAAGCTGCTGATGTTACTGATTTGATGTGGCTATTAAAATTTAAGTCTGAGTCCAGTATTACCCCTAGATTTCTGACCTTGTTTGAAGGTTTTAGGGAGAGAGACTGTAGGTGACAGATGACGCTCTCTCTTTGTTTCTGGGGACCAAAGACAATCATTTCAGTTTTGTCTGCGTTTAGCTGAAGGAAGTTGTTTTGCATCCACTCACTGATCTGTTGGATACAGTGAAGGAGTGAGTCCACTGGTCCATGTTCTCCTGCAGTCAGTGAGACATAGATCTGAGTGTCGTCTGCATAGTTGTGATAGGACACGTAGTTTCTGCGTATTAACTGACCTAACGGCAGCATGTAGAGATTGAACAGAAGAGGTCCCAGGATCGACCCCTGTGGGACTCCACAGGTCAGGGCCATATGATCTGAGACACAGTTTCCAATCTCCACAAAGTACTTCCTGTCTTCAAGGTAAGACCTAAAACAACTTAGGGCGGTGCCAGCGACGCCAACCCAGTCCTCTAATCTCTGTAAGAGGATCTCATGGTCGACAGTGTCAAAGGCAGCACTCAGATCTAACAGGATTAAGATTGAGACTTTGCCTGCGTCAGTGTTCAGCCGGATATCATTTGTAACCTTGACGAGCGCAGTCTCAGTGCTGTGGTGGGGTCTAAAGCCGGACTGAAACATATCAAATGAGTTGTTGATTATAAGAAATCTAGTAAGCTATAGGTAGACAACTTTTTCAAGGACTTTCCCCATAAATGGCAGATTTGAGATGGGACGATAGTTGTTAAGTACAGTGGCATCCAGACTGCTCTTTTTTAGCAGGGGCCTGATGACTGCAGTTTTCAGGGCCTTTGGGAATATTCCAGAATTAAGGGACATGTTTACTATCTGTGTGAGTGAAGGTAACAGACTGCTCAGAACAGACTTTAGAAATCTAGTGGGTAGTACATCCAGGCTGCATGTGGAGGAGCTCAGACTGGAGATTATCTCTTGGACAGTTTGATCCTTTACAGGTGCAAAGTAAGTTAGCTCAGAGAGCCTTTCAGGCTGTTGGATGGTTATCTGTGGATTGGAGACAATGGCGTTTTTGATGCCTTGAACCTTGTCATTGAAAAAATGTGCAAACTCATTACATTTACGTTTGGAAGTTAGCTCTAATGGCATTTGAACAGGGGGGTTTGTTAATCTATTAACTGTTGAAAACAGAACACGCAGATTGTTGCTGCAGCCTTCAATCATTTCAGAAAAATACCTTTCTCTCGTACTACGTAGCACCTGGTTAAACTCGCACAACTTATCCTTGAAGATCTTGTAATCAACCTGGAGGTTGGACTTGCGCCACTTCCGCTCGGCCCTCCGGCACTCTCTCTTTTGTGCCCTGACCGAGTCTGCTTTAGCCCACGGCGCCTTCTGCTTATTTTTCACTATTTTAACCTTCACAGGAGCGATGGTGTCCAGAACATTCAAAACACTAGAGGTAACAGAGTTAAACAGTTCATCTACAGTAGAATACGATGCATTCTCAAACTGAATCAGCATAACAGCTGAATAGACAAGAGTTTTGTCAACAACAAATCTATAACCAACACCTTTTTCACAAAGATAGAAATCCTGGTTTTATTCCTTGTTTTGTCGTTAATTATTTGAGAATCATAACGAGACCTTTTTTAGTTCTGCGCCACATGGTACTTTACCAGTGAGATTAGCTTCACGCGGTGAGGCAACCTGGATCACAGACTTTCTGATTGGTGAAACGGTGGAGGGCGGGACATCGAAATGAAAACAATAACAAGATTTAGGAACCGTAAAACTGATTTTGAAATTCAAATATCTCTGAACTACAGTTATCAGTTAAAGATTTGTTTTTATAAATGCCTTTTGACAGATTAGGGCCCTTTAATGTGACTTGACATGAAAATCTTACATATTGCTACTTTAAATGGACCTAAATGCACATATGCCAAAGATACAGTCATAAGATTGATTAACTAACATGATGTCAAGTGTGATGGATGCCTTGATAAGCCTTTTTGCTAATGTTGCTTTCGGGAAGTTCCATTCTTTTGATGCTAGAGTTAGAGATTTAATTTTGATATAGAGTTATTATTCATGTATCTTGTGCTGTGTGCTCCTCATTCCTACTGGTCTGTAACTGGTGATGCAACACTGACATTTCCCCACTGAGGGACAAATAAAGAATCTCTTAATCTCTTAATATTAATCTTTACAAAGCACCTGCAAACTCTAGAATCCAGAATGTGTATGATTTGTATGACTATGAAGTTTTGTGAATAAATAAGGAAATTACGTTTCAAAATTGATGATCCACTTTCTGATTTTTTTCCACAGCCAGAACCCAACTATTCCATGGCTGAAAATAATTTTTTAATCAAAAGTAAAAATGTAAACTTGAAATGTAAAATAAAAATTAAAACGATGGCTGGACGATATAGGAATAAAAGACAGATTATATATTTTATTTTTGTCGAATATTTAACAATCTCTCTTCTTTTCTTCACAAATAAATGAAGTTGTGTTTTTGGAAACGCACTTTTACACCAAGTTTCTTTGCAATTTCTTTCTCAAACTGTCTTTTCCAATACTTTTTCTTGACTGTACGACTTATACTATAATAATTCATTCATAATTAAAATCAAACGTTACATTAATCACTGCTGTAACTATAATTATCAATTCTTTCCCTGCTCCTTCCCTGCAGCTCAGTGACCGTGTGAGAATAAGTCAGGTTTTGCGTTGTGTACCCAAGATATCGCAACAATAGCCCATACTGCACTGGTGTTGGGTAATCTCACTTGGGGCATTCTCTCCGGGGGTTCGACAGGTGCCAGTAAAAAACAAAAGAAAAGATTTTCCACTAACTAATGCTTTCGTCCAGACAGTGCATTTGATCGCCCACAAGCACACACCGGCGTAAACACCCTGAGGTAATAATATCCAGCAGAAGAAGAAGAATGATGAAGACAAAGGACAGACCTGGCACTCGAGCTTGTCCAGGAGCTGTTGGAGTTTGTTGATTTGGGTGCAGCACTTCTCCTCGTGGTCCTCGCTCACACCTGCAGCAGAACAAGTAAGTAGTAGTAATCTTTATTTATATACCGCCTTTTCACTGCACATCGGAGTCTCAAAGCGGTTTACAATTGTTTTTTTTTTTTTTGGGAGTGGGGGTGCCAGTACAGGAGGCGCATGCCAGACCTATTGTACATATTTTTAGTGGTAGGGGAAACCGGAGCACCCGGAGGAAACCTACGCAGACACGGGGAGAACATGCAAACTCCACTCAGAAAGGCCCTGGTCCAACCGGGATTCGAACCCAGGACCTTCTTGCTGAGAGGCGAGAGTGCTATCCACTCAGCCACCGTGCCGCCCAACAACTGGTGACACACTGTACTGTCAGGAAATAAATGACACTGATTCCAATAACTGAACACCGCTCGGGTCCAGATCACGATCACCCATCTCCAAGACCGCCTGTGTCTGCTCGGCCGTGATATTGTCGGCCTGTGTTCTCCTTTGTATTTAGTCATTGTATGTTTTGCCCTGCGAGGTTTGAAATGAGTTTGTGTCTATGTCACCTTTGAAGCTGCCTTGGGACTAGGCTGGAATTTAGCCGTTATGCTAAGTCCGGTGCATTAACACTGACACTAAAGGCATTAATGTTGATGAATGTGCCTTGTCCCAACTCATTAAATAAATACATGAAATGAAAAAGTGTCACTAGTGTTTCCCTCATGGCTACATTTCTCCTTTGTGAGATCAATAAAGTTTATCTTATCTTGTTTCAAGACGTCTCCAGGAGAATATTGGAGTCCAAAGAAGCCCGGGTTATGAGCACTGTCCTCAGAGAAGTTTAACCCTTTAAACCAGGCATGTTCAAACACAGGCCCGGGGCCCAGTTTCAGTCCTCAGTGTCATCCTATGTGGCCCTCTGCCTTTCTAGCCTAAAGTAGTCTTTGAGATCATAAACACAAGATCATTCATCCAACTTCAGCTCAGCCACTACAGACACGTCATAACTCGTTCTAGAGCCCAGTACGTCTGGAATTCAGTCGTTTACTTTATTTGTTTCGACTGTACTGAGGTGGTTTTTGATTGTGTCACAAACTTCCGTTAATGATGCTACTGAAACTGGTGAGATGCTAAATAAATACATTTACTAATTATTTTGTTATTAGTGCTCCTACATCTTGATAATAAAACAACAAAATAATGTACATTACTTTCTTCAAGGAGTGAACAGGAAAGGTTTAAATCACTTGCAGTCTTGTATGAAAAGCGCTAAAGAAATAGCTTTTCATACATTTATTTGAGATTCAGTTCTACTTCTTCTTTCCCAAAACAACCACAATTCATCACTTTTGCTTTGAGTGCGACTTCAAAACCCCTCTTACCATTGGTTAAGACGGAGCGTGGGTCGGGCAGAGAGACGCAGGGATTGTTATGGATCTTCTGACCACAACGTCTGGTGTTTCTCGGCGCCGTTGTCAGGTCAGTGGACGTTGCTTCTCTTCAGGGAGGGAGAAGAAATAAAAAAAAACAGACAAGAAACTGTCAAATACTGGGAAAATGTGTTTTAAGAGTAGGTGATATGACAGGCAGGGACATCCAGGAGGCAATCGGACCACGTTTGGAATACAAAAGGAGGCTTGTGATTCATATAGAGCCACTGAGGTAGAGACGCAGAGAGCAAAGGAAGTGGCATTAATAATTGAATTGAGTTCTGAATGTGATATAGGTTGAGGCCGGCTGCATCAGAGAGCGGAGAAGCACATGCACAATTCAAAGTGATGCAGTGCGCACAGTCGGTGGCGAAAAGAAATTGAGACTGCGGCAGGATCCCTTCACAGCGTTTTCTCCCTCGTACGGGGAAAATAACAACTCGATTTGTGTTTTTCCAGCAGGTTCCTGTGGCTTCAGACATCAAATACTCTATCCAAAAGTATTCAACCCAAAAAACTGCACAACCTGTTCTCTACACTGCAAAAAATGATTAAATATGAGCTGTTGCTTTATTTTCTCATTCCAAGGGAGTTTTAAAACAAGATGATTTTGCTTTGTCCCATTGGGGTTCAGTCAGAACCTGTGATTCAAGATTTAAGAATTTATTTGCCATTTGCAGTAAAACCACATTGGAAAAACTGTGCAAGACTACCCTAGTGTGTACCAGAGCTCTTGCCACAAATGTGCTCAAACTATGATATATTTTGGAGCAATTGTCACTCTTTGTTGTCACTTTTTTGCAGTGTATGTACTTTGTTCCGCCTCCTTTATACCAACAGCATCAACAGAGTGACTCCACAGAAACAAGGAATTCTCGAGCTGTGGAAGCAGGAGCGAGCTGCTGTTGAACTCTTCCCACAACCTTTTTGAAGCATTACAAATATGTCCAGAAGAAAAAGGAGCAAAGGGCGAAATCCAGGCCTAATAAAAACCCTTTTTTTCCAACACAGCTTTGTCTTTAAAGGCTATGATCACAAACAACTCTGCTCTTGAAAATGACTAATTTCAGAATTGGCCGGAGGTGGGTGTCAAGTTTGCAAACTGAAATTTCCCCACTGCGGGACGAATAAAGGAACTCTTAGGCTATATCCACACGAAGACAAAACGCTTATAATTTCAGAAACTTTTTCTGTAAACACGGAGTTAGCTCAGTAAATGTGTGCGTCCATATGAATGTAGTCAATACGCCTGAAAACGCTGTGAAACTATGCCAGACCTGTTGGTGGCGCTGTGACGCAATGACGGGATCAAGCCCAAACTTCCGTGACGGGAACTGGGCATGCGCAGAATTTTGTAAACAGACAACATGGCGAGTGGGCGAGCTGGTACTACATTAGTATGGACGGACGATGAGGTTGAACTGTTGCTTCGGGTCGCACTGGATTACAAAACCAACAAGCTACATTGTTGTTGTCATTATTTTCTGAGTGCGGCGCATGCGTGCTTTAACAAGAGGCGGGGCGATGACGCAAGCGTCTCAGATACATTGCGGAGAGGCAGTAACCACGGAGCGGCATATACGGAGTTTTGAAATCTTTCCACTCTGGGACCTACTTTCAAAAATGTTCGTTTACACCCCCCCAAAACGCCGGCCTCGTATGGACGATACACTGGATTGATAAAGTATTTTTGCGTTTAGGCCTGAGCTTGACTTTGTGTGGACAGGGCCTTAATCTTAATCTGTTATATTTTGTTAGCGTTAGAGCTTTGGGAGAGGAATTATCTGCAGGTATTAACAGGAGAATCAGAATAGTCCATGTGCAGGTGAGAGGGGTCAGCAGTGATACGACCAGCCCGGCCTCGAGCTCGGGCGAGGTACAGGTCCCGCAGCTTGTACGTCGTGCGGTGCTTAAATAATAATTTTCATAATGCTATATGCCATCCATTCATTTTCTTCCACTTCATCCGCTGCCGGTTGGTGGGAGCAGCAGTCTGAGCAGAGACACTCAGAGCTCCTTATCCACACATACTTCCTTACAGCCCATCCGGGGGAATCCAGAGGCACTATTCTTAAGATTTATTTCTCAAAACAGATCTAACTGAACTGTGTGTCAGAGCCTTGAAGCAGCAATATGTAAGATTTTCATGTCAAGTCATCATTAAAAGGGCCCTAATCTGTCAAAAGGCATTAATAAAACATCTTCTTTTCCAATACCCTTTTTAACTCTTGACAGTAGTTCAGGGATATTCACATTTCTAAATTAGTTTTCCAGCCCCTAAATCTTGTTATTGTTTTCATTTCGATGTCCTGCCCTGTTTCACCAATCAGAAAGTCTGTGATCCGGGCGCCAGAACTCACTGCGTCGAGCTAATCTCACTGGTAAAGTACCATGTGGCGCAGAACTAAAAAAGTCAAATCATTAACGACAAAAACAAGGAATAAAACCAGGATTTCTATCTTTGTGAAAAAGGTGTTGGTTATAGATTTGTTGTTGACAAAACTCTTGTCTATTCAGCTGTTATGGTCCCAGCTGGATTCGTCTGCATATCTGGCAACCTGAGTCAGGGAGAGTGGGAGAGGACTACAGTGATTGCAGTAACATATTTGGTCAGATTTGTACAAATTGCCTCTTTTACTGTAACGGAGATCTAATGAGTTACATGTTTGAATCCCAGACATATATTCTGCTTTGAAGTAAATGCAAAAAACCAAGTGCACTCTCTGTCCTCCAGCCTTACAATTATATTAGATGTCACATTTCTTCTCCTTAATAATGTTCCTTCGACCATATATAGAGTGTGTGCTGTGTTGCACCGGCAGCTCAGAGGGAGAGGAACACTCCACCGCCAGAGCTGCAGGGCCAACACCGCCACGGCCAGGAGAGGTATCATGGAATTCAATGGGATTTTAGTTCGAGGTAGTAGTAGTAGTAATCTTTATTTATATACCGCCTTTTCACTGCAGATCTGAGTCTCAAAGCGGTTTACAATTGTTAATTTTAATTGTCTCTCACTCCACACAGAGATGGGAGCGGGGCCAGTACAGGAGGCGCATGCCAGAACTATTGGACATATTTTTAGTGGTAGGGGAAACCGGAGTACCCGGAGGAAACCTACGCAGACACGGGGAGAACATGCAAACTCCACTCAGAAAGGCCCTGGTCCGACCGGCATTCGAACCCAGGACCTTCTTGCTGAGAGGCGAGAGTGCTAGCCCTAACCCTAACCCGCCCGAGGTATTATTAAGGAGCGTCTGAGGACAGAGGTGATGATCCAGGACATTTATCAACATTTATGGACATCGGTCTCTGTTCCTCATGGAACAAAGGCTCTATGTGCATTTCCTGTGTTTTAACTGTTTTCTCTGATCTGTGTTGGCGAATCAACAGCTTTGTAATGTCCTCCAAGATAACTACTGTTGTGATTTAGATCCATACCATCCTTACTGCTGTCAGACTGTACAATAAGTCACTTTAAGTCACTAATGACCTGCACTAGGACTGAAAAAAACTTGCACTGCCATAGTCACTAGCATGTTTGCACACTTCCTGTCTTTTGAGTGGCGAAGCAGATGCTAGAGCTAGGCTAAATGCTAAAGCTAGGCTAAATGTTAAAGGCATCACTCACTCGGGCGCATTACATCACGGTAAACTCAGATCCAAGGCTAGTAACAGTTGGGCTAGTTATAGTTAGGCTACTAACTCCCAAACTAGGACTCTCTCAAACTGCATGAAAACTGAACAAAGAATCCTGAACATCAGCGGTGAGTGACCCAAACATAAACTTAACCTAAATCCATAATTCGATCCTCTGCAAATGTTCCTAAAATGTCCCGGAATCTTTTTCTCGCATTAAAACAGTATTTTTGTCATGAAAACATTACCAGATACTTCTGAAAACCTCTGTGCACGTGTATTAAGAATGTATATGTATAATCTATTCTCCAATTAACACTTAAATGCATTGATTGATTGGTATTTACGTTTATTGAGTGTGGCTAGCTCAGCTGGCTTCTCTGCAGAGACAGTAGCGACGAAGTGGCCGGAACTACTTGCGGAGTAATCTACAAATCTGAATTACAATCAGAGAGAACGTTGTCAAAGGGCAGCGATCATTATTGTTTTGAGAGGTACGTTATCAAGAAATAATGAAATGATGACCGGTAGAACGTTTTGAAATTACATTCAAATCAGTTCTCAGGTCTCTGCACTGGCTTCCTGTGGCTCAGAGAATAGACTTTAAAACAGCTCTGCTTGTTACAAGTCTCTCCATGGCCTCGCACCAAAATATATTAGTGACATGTTAGTCCCATATGAACCAGCCCGGACTCTGAGGAGCACAGGGACTGGACTCCTGCTGGGACTCTGAGGAGCACAGGGACTGGACTCCTGCTGGGACTCTGAGGAGCACAGGGACTGGACTCCTGCTGGGACTCTGAGGAGCACAGGGACTGGACTCCTGCTGGGACTCTGAGGAGCACAGGGACTGGACTCCTGCTGGGACTCTGGGGAGCACAGGGACTGGACTCCTGTTAGTGCCCAGAGTCAGGACTAAACATGGGGAGGCTGCTTTTCAGATTCATGCTGCTAAAATCTGGAACAGTCTTCCTGAAGATGTGAGACAGGCCTCCTCTCTGACAATGTTTAAAACCAGGTTAAAGACAGTTCTGTTTAGCTGTGCATACAACTGAGGGATTTCATATTTGTATCTTTCTTTTTAATGTTCTGTGATTATTTATGATTTTAATGCTTTCTTGTTTTGTTCAGCACTTTGAATTGCCTTGTGTATGAATTGTGCGATATAAATAAACTTGCCTTGCCATCAATGGAGCGTTCTCCTGCTGCTGTGAGGAGCGTATAATCAAACATAAACTATAGGTTGTGGTCTGCTTGCGTCAATGTCCACACTTTGAACCTCCAATTGTGCGGTGTCGCCACGGATCAATGAGCCTTTATATTCCTCCACTTCCTGGTCCAATCTGACTCACTTGTTCTGTATTTGAACACTACCTCCCCCGGTGCTTTTTTTCAATAACTCACCTTGGAAATAATCACTCCATTTATTCCAATAACACGATGAAAGAGGCACAGCCAGAGAGGCACAAAGACACAGTCCAGCCCCAGCTTGCCGGATACAGACTCACACGGTACAGGACAAGGTGTACTTCTGCACAGGTGGCACTTCTCAAACATTTCTCTAAACACAGGACACTTGGAACAATGATTTAGTTCTCAAAAATGTAGTTAAAAAAATAAAAATAAACTAAAACCAAACTAAACAAAATAAATAAAATAATTTACAATTTGTTTTGGATCTCAATAGTAGTACAAATTTCATTTCGTACTAAGGTCTGGATTTGCTTCATTGACTCCGTTAACAGGTGGGAGGGGTTAACTACTTTTGCAGATTGAAACCATTGGATCTGAGTTTACCGTGACGTAATGAGCCCGAGTGAGTGAGGCATTTAGCATTTAGCCTAGCTTTAGCCATCTCCTTTGATGCTAACGGAGCCCGTGGGGAGTAGCGCCACAATCTTTGCAGCGATTACATTTGCTAAACATTCCTCTTGCTCCGGCTTCAATTTCTTGATAGAACCAGACCAGAATACTTTACTATCGCATTCTTCGGCAAAACACAACCTGCCCGTTCGACGCAAACTCTTGACGTCACCCACATCTAACTACAACACCCGCCTCCCGTGCTCTCTGATTGGTCGGATGGGATTCAACCGATTGTAATCTCAAACACAGGGACCAGACTCAGACGTTACAGGCAGGAAATGATGATTGATCGGAGTGTACGGATGGATAAGGCCAGGATAGGATCTCAAGACAATGTTTACAACTTATTGTGATTGACATACAATTCTTAGATATATTGATATTAAATACATTTGTTAATATTTCAGTATATTATCCAAAACTGTTAACACAATCAGCACACAATAGCAGTTATTATTTAGACCATTTAAAAGTGCAAATACTACACACTCCTCCCTCACATGTTTCAGACTGAGAGACTTGTTTGTCGGTAAGTATCGCCAGAATTCAATCTTCCCTCACAGCGGCGGTGTTGATGTTGCTGTTAGCGTTCCCAGCGCTGCAATGTTCCATTTATTTGTGGTCAAAGTGAAAGAAAGTCTATTCTAAAACTCACTTGGACAATGCATTTTGGACTATGGATTTTTGATGAACAACATATTTCAATTCGATTAAATGGATTCTTGTATCGCCCTAAATCACAAAAGCAGCTATCCCAACAGACTCCTGCATCAGAGGAAAAAACTCTAAACCCCAGTGGGAGAAGAGTAGGGCTGAAACAACTAATCGATTAATTGACAACTAATCGATTATTGAAATAGTCGACAACTATTTTAATAATCGATTAATCGTTTTCTGGTTCACACGGACTCAAACAGAGCAAAAATGACATGAAAATGTAGTATTTTTGATTAAAACCGACTTTGTTTTTATAATTTCATGAATATCTGTCTGTCTCATCCAATCAGAGCAGAATTAGCACAAAGAGCCTGTTACAAACATTTACTTTAAGTTTACGCCTCAATACGTCCTCGAGTGTTGCCACTTTAGATTTTTGTGATGAAAAAATAAATGTTTTCGACACAATTCACAGCCAAGCGATTACTCGATTAATCGTAAAAATAATCGTTAGATTAATCGATTACAAAATAATCGTTAGTTGCAGCTCTAGAGAAGAGTGAGTAACCTCGGGGAGATCCACAGAGAGAGGGATCTGCTCCTACACGGACGGACCGGCTGTAGATCCAGGACCTCAGCTACAGAACGAGGACCAAGGCCACGCGGCTCAGGACTCAGGTTGTAGAACGAGGACAGTATTCCCACAAAAGATCATTTCATCCATACGTTACAATATTGTGGCGCCTGCCTGATTTTGCGTCATATTTAGAGCAGTGGTTATTTATAGGGCATAAAACACAATTATTATTATTTATTCGAACATAAAAACTTCTGGTTGCAAATGTGCAATTACAAGAACAAAGACAATTTTTATATCCTCACGCAAAAGTTAGGGGACACAAAACAAGCAAGTGGGGAACATAGATGTTATTTGGAATGTAGTGATGTCACATGAACACAACCTATAATTACACTGCAAAAAGTGATGAAGAATAAGTCAAAAATTGCTAAAGTTTGGCAAAATATATCTTAATTTGTGACATTTTGACTGAGCCTTAAAACCAGATTTTCCAATGGGACGAAACAAAATGATCTTGTTTGAAAAATAATATACAAGAAATGTTTCCCTTGGAATGAGATTATTTTCTCATTTATTCTTGGAAAAAGACTAAAAGGCTTCGTCCCATTGGAGAAGCCAGAATGTGCTCAAATTAGGATAAAAAAAAAAACACTTGATTTACATATATATTACCTCATTTTATCTCACTTTCTGTCATGGTGTGGGTTTTATTTTAGTATTTTTGTTTTATTTTGACATTGTTCTCTGTGGTTTGGTTTTAGTTGTACTTCCTGTCCTGTTTGCCCCTGTCTTGATTGTCTGCCCCGCCCTGATGTGTTTCACCTGTGTCTCTGTGTGTCTATATGTACCCTGTGCTTCTTTCCCCTTGTTGCTAGTCCATTGTATTGTCAACGTCTGTCTTGTTTGTTCATGTCGTCAGTCTGTTCGTGGTTATTTTGGTTTTTGAAGTTCTGTTTTTTTACCTTGGACTTTATTTTATTAAATCATTATTTTGGCATTCTCGCATTTTGAGTCCTCCTCCTTCCCACCACGTGACACTTTCTGCAGTGTACGAGTGTAAGTCTGTGCATCTCTTCTGTGTGCGGCAGTATTTACTCACGGGGCCGGGCTGCTCTGCTCCTCCACTGCCTCCATGGCGTACTGCAGGGACCTCTGCAGAGACAACAGCTGGCTCGACGTCTCCCTGAGCATGAAGCGTGTCACAAACTGGCCCAGAACGCTGGAGCCCTGGTACTCCTGAAAGCAAAAAAAAAGCAAAAAGAAATCTAATTCACAACACCCTAAAGCAATTTCTACAGCAATTAATTTTGAGTCTCATTAGTCTCGGCTATAACGGCTGAATGAAAGCATCTCGTATTACTTAATATGGGGTTTAATTGGGTTTAAAATGAAGGAAGGAAGTCCAAAAACACGACGTCACGCAGATTTTAAATGAAGTTTCAGTTCAATTTAAAACATACTGCAACAACAATGAAGACAGTGTTAAAGAGGTGACTATAATAAAAACTAAAGTATCTTCTAAATCTATCTATCTAAAGTATAGCAGAAATCTAAAAAGCAGCAAATATGATGAGCAGGAAGCACATTTTTCATGTCATCTGGTTTTACATTCTTTTGTTCTTATGTAATTGTAATTTTTAAATGTATTCCTTTCTGTACTTTTAATACTGTCTGTGATGTTTTTAGTCAATTGTATGGAGTCTTTGGGTGTCTTGAAAGGCGCCATAAAACAAAATGAGTTATTATGATGTATTATTTAGATATTTTAGCTAGATATTTGCTCAATTCTGGGAGAGCCACTTCAGTTATTATGATTTATGTGATACAAATTTAAAGAAGAGAAGGAGAGGGAAACATGGAGCCAAAATATCCAGTGTTTTCTCTTTGTGTAGGGTTTACTTTTTTCTGCCTAAGATGTTGCTGCAGTACAGTGTTCGTGGTTTTACACTGGTCCAGACCAGAGCAGAGAGGATTCACGGTTTTACACTGGTCCAGAGCAGAGCAGAGAGGATTCATGGTTTTACACTGGTCCAGAGCAGAGCAGAGAGGATTTATGGTCCGAACCAAGTGGATCAGGTGAAAATCCACAGGAGGAATGCTAACTTTTTGAAAAATGCTAATGAAGCATTTAGCATTTTACTTTGGACCAAAGCAGAGAAAATGGTCCGAACCAAGCGGCTACTCCACCTTATGACCCGTCCTGCTCCACCCAGAGGCTACTCCACCTCTGCTGCTGTGACCCTGCTCCACCCAGAGGCTACTCCACCTCTGCTGGTGTGACCCTGCTCCACCCAGAGGCTACTCCACCTCTGATGCTGTGACCTAAAGGGCTATTATGTTTTTAGAATGATCAATTTCATTTTTATATTTGCTGCTACTGGACACCTGAATTTCTCCGACGGTGATCAATAAAGTATCTATCTAAGTATCTATCTATCTATCTATCTATCAATATTTTCTTTTGGTTTTGGTAGAATCGAACCGGAGACTGGACCAAAGCTAAAGAAGACACTAAAACCTTAACAGATTTGCAGAGTCATGATCTTGACAAATTACTATTAATAACTTTTTGGGTTCATTGTATGTAAGAAGATGAATCTGGTTGTTATCCTGAGAAAAATAGCTTAAAAATGAGGCCCTGGTCGAAAAAAACAGTAACACACTAATTCATTTAAATAAGCAACAGACTGGACAGTATAAGGTTAACTGCCGGGAAAGGTGGAGGGGCCACATGGACTCATGAATTGGGCCGCATGTGGCTCCCAGGCCGCAGTTTGCTCAGGTCTGGTTTGAATTTTGCTTTGTTTTAGAGATAGACTCTTACTCAAAACCATAAATGCCAAAAACTTGTGCACTCCTTCCAACAGCTTCCAGGACTACAAAAAACTAGCCAATTAAAGAGAGGCCCTACAGCTAATGCATCATGGGATTATCCAAAGCGCAGCAGCGTGGGGCAGAGGACATAAGTGGAGCCTGAACCTCTACGGGCCGCGACGCCACTCTCTGACAGCATCAAGAACAACATTAAGCACTTAAATATTCACAACACGTTTCCTTTTTGCTTTCCCGTTTAACAACAAAGGCTTCTACAATTCAAGGACTCACTTTTACAGGCACTTCCCTTGTTCACGAAATTAGCAGTCGGGCGCAATTAAAGCAGTGTTTTTGACTTGGGAATGTTATGGTAAGTAGACGGCGTTTCAGCAGAGAATAAAATTGGGCTTTTTATGCTAAACAGAGCCACGTTTAAGATGGACTGTTTTGCATAATGTGGAATTGTTTAAAGCATGTGAAAGAAAGTGGCTTTGGGTACTGAGTAAACATAATAAAACACATGTTCTAAATATGCACTTGTCTGGTTTGTGTGTTGCTGCTGGCTCTCTCCTCTTTTCAGGATCCAGCCATTCTCGGAAGGTCGCTATCATTTTAGGGGCACCGATAAGTTCAAGACTACGGACGCCCAACATCAAGGACATCAAGGTTACTTCACATTTTTACTACATAATTTGGTGCCAACATTTTGTGTTTAGGCGTGTGCTTTTTTGTTGTTGTTTTCAGTCGTTCATATTAGCAGACTTCTTTAGTTGAGAGCAGAGTTACACATGAATAATGCAAGCAAGGTCAGCCACACAAGGTAGTGTGTCTTAAATTTATCGGTGCCCCTAAAATAGCGAGCTTCCAGGATCGGCTGGATCCTGAAAGGAGGAGAAAGCAGCAACACACAAACCAGACAAGTAAGTAAGTAATCTTTATTTATATACCGCCTTTCTCAGACCAGAATCACAAAGAGGTTTCCAATTGTGGGCATTTTTCTCTGACTCCACACAGAGATGGGAGCGGGGCAAGTACAGGAGGTGCATGCCAGAACTATTGTACATGTTTTTAGTGGTAGGGGAAACCTGAGCACCCGGAGGAAACCTAAACAGACATGAGGAGAACATGCAAACTCCATCCAGAAAGGCAGACTGGACAAGACTGGAGTCATCACAGTACAGGGAAATATGACTATCAACAATAGAATGCATTTGATTCTCTTGTGTTCCCAAGTTCACTAAGTTTAACCAGGCTGCGAAACAAAAGGGGATAATTAATTACAGACCAATGATAGAGTCTGTAAAAAAAGTCTGTAAACAAATAGACCAAACAAAAAGAAATTATGGTATTCAAACCCAGGCAATAACAGAGATAAAGGGACGTTCAAAATTACCTCTCTTTGCCTAAACCAGGACCAGAAATAAAAAGCGTTTTGTCTTAATTAGTCAACGCGACCTATTGCAGTTCCCTTTTGTGCAGTCATCCATTATTCTGGAGGTCTGGCCGGGCCCTGGCACCGGCTGATCTCCAACTCTCTTCTGGGAGAGACATGAATCAGCAGGAAACTCGGCACATTTTTAGCACAAAACCCTGTGCCTTTGGAAGCGTGCCTTCTTTTGTGTCCAATTGTAAAAAAGCCAAGGCCGTCTCGCGTTCAATGGTTTGCAAATTAAAAGGGAAAGGCTGTTTGATGCATGATGCTGGTATTGAAACTTACCTCTTTAGTTTTGTCCATGGCTTTCAGAATAGCAATGTTCAGGCTCTCCAGAGATGAAAGCACGCTGAGATATTCGCCCAGGTGTTGGGAGAAATAATCTGTTGGAAGAAAACAATAAAGAGATATTAAAGTTTGGGTTTTAATAGGTTCTTATGTTATGTGTGACATCATGAGTAAAATACTGTATATTTGTGTTTAAGCAGAATTATCAGAATACCCTTTATCTTTGATGTGGTGTTGGTGACCAATTTAAAAATGCATTTATTCCTTCTCCTAATCAACAAAATAGGCAAGGCAAGTTTATTTGTATATTTGTAAAAAAGCAAGATGGCATTACAATAATAAATAATCAGAGTTCATTAAAAAGAAAGATACAAATATAACAAAGTCCCACAGTTGTAGCACATATTGTTCCGGCATATCTCAAGCCAATCAAAACAAGCTTATTTAAATGCCTGGTTATGTATCTATCTATATAAATGTTTGTATTCTGTGTTCCATTAAAAGTCCTTTAAAGTTCAGTGTCGTTCTGAGCGCCGTGTGTCGAAGGTGACACAGAGACGCACCCGAAGCATTTGTCACTTCATCTGTTGCTTGTGCGTCTCATTTCCTGAGCCTTAAGAGTGGACATATTATCGCCCTTTCAGACTCTGCATCAGAAAAGGCTGCATAGTCACATCTCTGCAGCGGTTACAGACATCTTTGCTCCTCAGTCGAGACAGTGCAGCCATTGAGCATATAGTCATTTAAGTTACAGTAGGTCCCATTTCGTTTTGTCGTCTTCATTCACGCTAATATTACGAGTAAAAGTGTCGTCAGATGTCATTTATCCATCATAATGAGGTTGCAAATGTCTTATAGAGCCATGTTTGATATCAGAAAGCTTATTCTGAGAAAGATGAGGTGGTAAGCTTATTCATTGTATTCATTAATTGATAAATTAATTGAATCATTCATGAATTGAGTCATTGAGTTAGTAGCTATGCGTGCGTTCCCCTTTCTTGCACAAACATCACTTCCAGACAAAGAGGGCTTTCTAGATTCAATGCAACATTTTCAACACAGTTTAGACGTAAAATATGCAAATTGTCAAGAATAACAGCAATGTAAAATCAATAAATATAGAAACACGGTTGAAATAATAGGCCAGAGTACATGCAAGAAGGTGGTCTGGGTCTTGTGTTTTTGTCTGAGTGAGGACGAGATTCTTGAGGGAGAAAAAGTTTTGTCTAAAAGATAATCTGAAGTGTCTGAAGTATGGACTCAGTGGTTCCCAAAGTGGGGGTCCCGACCCCCCGGGGGGTCGCGGGAACCCCTGGGGGGGTCGCAAGATGATTTCCACACACACAAAAAAAATCATTTGATTTGATTCAAAAGGACTTGTTAAATTGTGTTTGGAGACTATAATATATTTTAATAACGTTAGTAATTTTGTCCCAGTCATTGCAGCATCAATCAAAATCATCACGTAACACAGCTCACATCATGCGCAGCGACAAAGCGTGTCCTGCTGTTGTTTGCTAAAACTAAAGGTGTTTGGAGGCTACAAATAAATACCTGCTTTAAAATGAAACGTGGTTAATATCCACAACAGAAAAACCCGGAGGGGGAGAAAAGTCACTTGTATCAGGGGTCAGGCTGATGGTGCGAAGAGAGGGAGAGAGGGCAAAGGAGGGAGAGAGGGCAGCGGAGGGAGGGAGGGCAGAGGAGGGAGAGAGGGCAGAGGAGGGAGAGAGGGCAGCGGAGGGAGGGAGGGCAGAGGAGGGAGAGAGGGAGGGAGGGCAGAGGAGGGAGAGAGGGCAGAGGAGGGAGAGAGGGAGGGAGGGCAGAGGAGGGAGAGAGGACAGAGGAGGGAGAGAGGGAGAGAGGGCAGAGGAGGGAGAGAGGGCAGAGGAGGGAGAGAGGGAGGGAGGGCAGAGGAGGGAGAGAGGGCAGAGGAGGGAGAGAGGACAGCGGTAGAACAGCGCGTTAAAGAGGCCCGGCTTTTCGGAGTCAAAGGTAAAGAGGTCCGCACATTAAAAGCGGGTGGCCGGTTTATGCCTTTACTGACAGTAACTTTGGAAAGAGAAGCCGCGGGGATGAACCGCATAAAGTAACAGCAGAAAGCGGCCGCCCGCTTTTAATGTGCGGACCTCTTTACCGCTGACTCCGGAAAGCCGGCCCACTTTACCGCGGTAGGAGAACAGTGAGGGCGAGCCGCAAGAAATGCGCTCCACTTCTGCTGAGGAGGGAGCCCACCAAGCCCATCACTGTGTCACTACATGAGTAAAAATATGCAAGCCTCCTTTTTTGGGCTGGACAGTGCAGCTCGGTAGTGGCGCGAGTCTCTAGAAAGCGTTACTCCGTATCAAGGAAATACATGCTCATTTCATGTGACAAAAGGGCTGTTGGGGGGGGGGGGGGGGGGGGGTCGCGGGTTAGCAGGGCATTTATGATGGGGGTCGCGGGCTAAAAACTTTGGGAACCCCTGGACTAAAGGACTACAACTAAATTGTGAGAAATCTAGCCTAGCTTTAGCCATCTCCTGTGCCACTAACGGAGCCACATCTTTGCAGCAATGACATTTGTTAAACATTCCTCTTTCTCCGGCTTCAAGTTCTCAATATTTGGAGCCGAACCAGATTATTTTACTATCGCATTCTTGACATCACGACATCTACCAACACCCGCCTCCCCCGCTCTCTGATTGGTCGGAGGGGATTCAACCGAGGAAACTGCAGTCATTGGATCAGACCCAGACGTACATGTAGGAAATTACACATGTCTAAGGCCAGGCTAGCTCTGTAAGGCAACCAAATGATAACATAAATAGATGTAACTTTTTTCTTGAGAGGAGAGTTATATGTTCTATCCCTGAGACTTATTGGTTAAAAAACCCAAATAAAATCAATCACCAACCAGCAGGCCCCACTGCTCTCCTTGTGCCCAGATAAAAGAACACTGTGCTATTATGAAACTTTCTTGACGTCAAATGGAGGAGATGCCATTCCCATTCAATAAATTATGCAGTGCTGTTTTATTCTGGGTACGACTGGTATTTACAGGTCTCTGCCCTATTTTTCCACTTTTCACAGTCCATCTGACACACTCACACATGCCAGGGCACAGACACTAAACTAGGCCAATGGATCTGAGTGATAGAGCTGCAGACTTTAGACCAAATCTGTAGATGAGTGAGTGAGCCACACGTCTGCGGTCGATACTGGGATCATCTCAAAGACTCCAGGATCATGTAGAGCACTTCGATTCTTCCTCCGTAGAGTGGCTGGGCGCTCCCATAGATAGGGTGAGGAGTTCAGTCACATGGGAGGAGCTCGGTTTAGAGCTGATGCCTCTCCACATCGAGAGGAGCAGTGTTGTGCGTGAACGAGTTCAAAAGAATGCGTTCATTGAACACGCTCATTTTTTGTGAACGTTGAACTGAACGCAACACATTTTTAAAAAAAGAACTTGAACGTGAATTAGTTCATTTTATGTGTCATGAACGGCAGACATCACTATGAACGTTGGAATCTGTTTTCTCTTTTGAAACGCAACGAGAGAAAGTTCCTCCCTCCTGTGTTCTCGCACTTTTTCCGCCGAAATTTAAAAATTCCTACGGTTTCCACCGTCTGTGAACGCACCCCGACTCTGTGTTGTGGTGCGGCGCTGTGAGCTGGTGCTTTTTACATGTGCCCGAGTCCTGATGAAAACACAGGGTGAGTTAGCGACAAAGTTCACACCGTTTACATTTGACATAAAGTACAGACACACGCACTGCAGCGCATTACTGTCTGTAGTTTATGAGCAGAGATGGAGCAACTCCGTTTGGCTCCCATTGAAAACCATGTAAATCTGGTCTGTTTTGTGGTCAAAAGGCTCTCCTCCTGTGGGTGTACAGGAGATATATATATACATATATAGCTCGTAGTGTAAAAAAAAGTATTTATTTGACTATTTCACGAAAAAAGTAAAATGAACTGAACTTTGAACTAGTTCAGAATTAAAACTGTGAACTTTGAATGTGAACTGTTCACTTTGAATGTGAACTGTTCACTTTGAGCATGTATGAACTGAACTTGAACTAGTTCAGAAAAGTTGTGAACTGGCACAACACTGGAGAGGAGCCAGTGGTGGTTCCTCGGCATCTGTTCCTGGACGCCTTCCTCGGGAGATGTTTGCCCAGATTAATGTTCTTCTCTTGGTAACAACACTACTCTTTGGAAGTCAATAAATGCAACAACAAAACAAAACTTGAGATGTTTTTGTGCCAAACGCAACACTTCAGTAAAAATAAATGACCATAACTTCAACCCACCTGAGAGCTTGTCTGTTTCCAGATTGCTGCAGAGAAAAATGGGACATAATTCAGATTGTTAATTGGGTACATTTGACATTCATTTTTGCTACACTGGCAACAAGACGTTTCACATCATTACACCGCAGCCAGAGGACAAGACTGATTGTAAAATTGTGCCTTTCACGTCCCGCAGCAAAGTCAAAGTCAAGTCGGTGCTCGACGTAATTCTCATTTAGCACAGTGTCCAGAGCCAGCCACAAAAGCCTTGGATGAAATAAAATAACAGTGACATTGTTCTTCTTCTTGTTATTGTTCTTATGTATTTATTTCAATTGTGGACATGACAATACACCACATAATACAATTCCAGTTCAAATAATTGTAGTCCTGAAACACAAATGAAATGGAGCAGCATGGTGTCCAACTCTAAACATGTACACATTAAAATAAGTGTTATTAAAGATGCACAAACTTTCTTCAAAAATTTCAGTCATGTATTCATTTATATGTTTTCATTGTTGTTGCTCAGATTTTTTTCTTAAACATGTGGACGTTTGCAAAACTTTTTGTTTCATTTTCCTGTTGATTCCACAGTTTTACTCCGACCACTGATGTTCCCATGTGTTTCTGGGTTTTTTCTGGCAAAAGGGACAGAGAAGTAAAAGCTTCCTTCTGCTGTCCTGGTTGGATTTGAGAGAGAAAAGCCTTTGGTAACGGCGAGTCTTTGGCTTTCTACGTCACAATGAGTGACTGTAGTTTAATAAGATCATGCAATTCATGGAATATTCTTATAATGAAACCAACTATGATCTTAAAACAATATTGCCATAGTTGTTAGGAAGCAGAGGTGTGGACTCGAGTCATGTGACTTGGACTCGAGTCAGACTCGAGTCATGATTTTGATGACTTTAGACTCGACTTGACCAAATATAAAAAGACTTGCAACTCGACTTGGACTTTAACATCAATGACTCTGACTTTCACTTGGACTTGCGCCAATTGACTTGTAAAGACTTGCGTAACCCGGGCCATTTTTACCTTTCTCCGCATCTCTCTTTCTATCTATGCCGTCTCTGAAGAAACAAAGCCTCGCGGTAGTTGTAGCGCTCGCGCGAGAGTTCGAACGTGAGTTCTCCGCAGTTCCGCGCAGCAACACTTCCCTAAACAAGCGCACTGCATTCACCGGTGGGTGTGTTGTCGTAGGGGAGCTGGAAATGAGCGAGCTGCAGGTATTTATCGCGACCTAACGTCATATTTTGTTCTACAAACCGTAATTGATATGCTTTCACTACAGGCGCCTCATACAATTGAATCGACGCAGTTGTCACACTGTGTGCCGTGTTTTAAAGAGGAACTGGTGAGTCAAACTAGCGCTAGCCTGCGCTGCTCTGTTGGCTCTTTCTTATATTTTTCTGTGTGGGCGCCGAGGCCTATTATTATGAGTATGTTTTTGCTGTGCTCCTCCTGCTAAAGTTTGCATACATTAGATAGTTGTTTTGATTATGTGCACTAAGCTAGATTAATATTTGCACTATTGTTTATGGTGCATTGATATGAGAATCAGTGCTTTGACTGATTGAATTAATTTATATGAGACATTTTATTATGTAATGATATATTGGTAATTATGAGATATTGCTAATGCTGGTCCAGTTGATGGCGAGCTGCCCCAGGTCCAAAGCCTAGACCCCTCATACTACCCCTATTCTACAGTAGGACATTTGGAACAATAACCACTACGGACATTAAACTGATTATATAGATACAGGTCCTAGCCCAATACTCATATTCATATATGCTGCACTTGCTACTTCCCATTAAAAACCCCAAAGATAAAAAGTATGTTGACACGGACTGCTCTGATTTTATGTGTGGTCTGTGCATGTGTAACTGAGCCTGCATCTGGCACAACATCCAATTAGATCACGTAGATAGTTTTGATTTATCAGCAGCCAACGACATGGAACAAACTGTTAGTCCATGGGTCAGAGACCAACGAGAATGCACCAGCAAAATGATTCCTAACATTATTTTGTTTGCCTACAAAAGTACGTGGAGACCAACAAGAAACAAATCGCGGTCAAAAAGACTCGAGAGGACTCGAAAGTCAAACCGTAGGACTTGGGACTGACTTGAGATTTGTTGGCCTTTGACTTGGACTCGACTCGGGACTTGCCTGTCTTGACTCGTGACTTGACTCGGGACTTGAGGGCAATGAATTGAGACTGACTTGTGACTTGCTAAACAATGACTTTGTCCCACCTCTGTTAGGAAGTAGCCTGACAGTTGACTTTTTTCAAGGCCTTTATGATAATCAACTAATATGTGAGTTCAGAGCCAAGGACAATTTAGCCTTGAGGATCTGGAGATAACAAAATCAATAAAAGTGATTTTCTCAGTCCTGACACATTCTCGACCCTGAAGCTAACTTCTTTGACAGCAGTTTGTAACAAGTGTTTAAATGAGCTATACCTGCTGTATTTTCTTATGAGTTTAAAAAAATGCTTATTACTACACACAAGGTGTATCAAAAGCAGTGTGGGCGTGTCCCGGCTCCAAAAGGTCCATGAGCACGTACCCTGACATGCTTGGAATCTTGCTCCTTGCCGGTGGGGGTGTACCCGGAAAGAGAATTTCCTTTTTCTTTCTTCTCGAAAACCGTTTGGTGGCTCTTGGTCCATCACTACGTTCTTAGACTACTATTCACTGTTGACTTTTGAATGCACTCGTCAAAAGAATGGAGCTGGTGCCGGCTAATACTTGCGCAAATGCGTTTTTTCACATCTTCTTGACCCACGGCCATTTTGAAAAAGCCCACAGAAGGCAAAAGTGGTAGCTTGTTAGTTTAAAAGGCGGAGATAGGCGTGACTACGGCACAGCAAAACAACCCAAAATTCGCAAAAGTGAATAGGAGGGGAGGGAACTAAAGTGGAAAAATTATCAAAGAACAAAACAAGCCCGGGTGAATATAGGTAGCTTACATCGTATCCTCGCTGGAGAGACCTGCGGGACAGCCTCGGACTAAATTTGGTCACAAAACTGTGGTTATTCTACTTGATAGATCATTTTGAACAGCTATGGTACTGTATATGTTATTCGCAGGGCATTGCTTTAGTGCCATCTCATCAGTGATTGATCGTTGTAAAGCTCCTTTAAGTGTGGCCAGGTTTCATGCACAAAACATGGGGCAGCTTTATTGGTCGAGGTCTATTTTTGCATCTTGCCATACTCTATTTCTATGAACAGGCTAATTACAGATAATGAAGACAGAAGAGGTATTTACTGAGATTTGAGTAGGGGCTCTGTGTAGATAAACATGAAATCAGGCCACAGATTACTGGAAGCAGAGACTTACTTGTTCTGGCGTCCGTCGATGGAGTAGAACAGCTCCTGCAGCTCCCCGGTGGTAAGGATTCCATCTGCAAAGTAGGTATTGAACTCATCAAACGACAGCTTTCCGTCATCTGTAAAAAAAAAAAAAGGAAAATATTACAAAGGTTTGTTATACTCAAGCTTAAATCTTTTTGTATACATATTTTGATGAAATTAATATGATTAAGTTGTGTAATTTTCAGCAGATTTTTTCTAAAGCTGGGTTCCATCTGTCTGTTTTTTTTACACCTACAGACCTGTTGTAGTAACAGAGAAGCGTGAATATTGTAAAATAGCACTGCAGGAGGCAGTAAACACAGTGCTCAAGGGCTGGAGCTGAACGGGCTTTGATATGCCCTCTGAAATAATAACTGCAGCCAGACAGAGTTTTGGTCTGGCTTTAAATAAAGGTGACAATCATGCTATGCTAATGTCTCAATGTCTTAGTTCAATGTCCTCTCCCTGGATGTTAAATGGAGAATGGGCAACCTTATGCTAAGTGCTGGGCTGGATGGCACAGTCATCAGTGAACGGTGAAAAAAAACAGAGCAAGGACTGTCCCCTGGGGAGCCCCTATACACACTACAGATGTCAGAAACACAGCCCCCATGGGTCTCACAAACTGTGGTCGGTCTATGAGGTAGTCCAGGATCCACTCGGCCAAAAAATAAAAATAAAACCGAGACAGTGTTGCCGGGCTTATCCAGATGGTCCAAGTGCCGAAGGAAGATGGCATCCCCTTTTCCAATGCCGACACATTGAGGAAAATTACGGGTTTTTTACAAATGCATGTAGATTTCGAAGGATATAGACTTCAAAGTTGTATTGAACAATGAATTAAAGAAAAGCTTTCACAAAAAAAGCCTCAGGGTCTGCCTCAGAATTAAAATTATGATTCTATGTATTTCCATATAGTATCTCCTGCATATTAAATCACCACAGAGATGAATAACACAATTTGTTCCACCAGGTGTTCAAACTGCCACAGCATCTGACTCAGCCCAAGGCGACCCTGTGCGGCTGTTCGGTTCACTATGAATGTTGTGACAGACGTGAGGGGAAAAATCAATAGCAGCTGATAAATAACGGCGTTGTCGTGCGTGAAGAAGCATCTCTGCACCAGCCCATCATCAATCTGTCTCTTGGCATGGACTAAAGTGATCAGTCTGCAGCCTGGTGAAGTCTCCACAACCAAACTGCTGAAGACGTTTTAATCCCGGTAATAGAGTCAAGAGCCGTCGCAGTCTGCACACTGTAAATTGTTATAGCCGAAATTAGAGTGATCCGAGGGAAACGAGTGTCTTAGTGTGATTTATTTTAAAGTGCCGGTAATGAAATATATACATGATAATTGCATAGAAGTGAATCTGAACAAAGCGCCAGTCTGCAGGTTTCAAAGACTAAGGAGGGGTCAAGGAGGAAGAGAAAGGGTGGCTAGTTTTCATCTGATTTATGAGCCCTTTCCCAAACAAACTTGGCTTCTTGTCGGGGCAATGGTGTGTGAACACAAAGCCTCCATTTTTTTACTTTTCAAATACAGACCTTGAACACACACACACACACACACATTTTCCTTTTCACCCAGATAGAGACCTGAAATGGAATGGGAATAAGTAAGACTTACGAACTCCCATGCCATCTACAAACACATACATTCACTTTAGCTGCCCGGTTAGAAACACAACTATATCAACAACAATTATAGATCACTGCAGTTTGTATGATATCATTACTATCTGTCCTTATTTATCATCACCATCATTTTTATGTTCTGTACAGTCATGAGGATTATTATGTATTATTATTATATACTACCAGACACAGTTGAATTTGTTTCCTTCTTTGTGACAAAATGGAACCACAGAAACCATCTTGCACCAACAAGTTCGAACGCCCTCAGCTTCCACAGAATCCCGGCGTGACCAGTGAACGGTGCAAGGACCCTCCCTCTCCTTAGACCTAATCTTTCTCACAGACTAGATTAAAAAAACAATGGTCCTGGTTTTGAGGACCATTGAGGACCATTGAGGACCAATGTTGTTTTCATGAACTGAAACAGTGATTATTGGTTGTCGCAGTTTATGATGTGGATTGTATTTGACCTCGAGTGAAAGCAGATTAAATGATATGACATAAAATTATAATATCAGCAAATACATTCTGACAAAGGAATCATGAAAGTCATAAGTTCTCTGAGACAGTGCAGGGTGCTGTAAGTGCAGGCAAACATTCTCAGGCGTAAATGTGGCTTCTGCTCGACTGATGTGAAAGTGCAATTGTTTAAATCATACTGTACACCGCTGCACATGGCCCACCTGTGGACTAATTATAATCTGCACAAGCTGCAGGTTCTAATGAGAAAGCCACGATGCACCTCACGAGTGAACACTTACACTCTGTGCTGAGGGCCTTATGTACTGTTTCATTTGTCGACTGAACAAATCAGAAAAGTAAGTGAGTAATCTTTATTTATACAGGTTCTTTCACAGACCAGTCACCTGATCTGTGAAAGGACCTTCATGCTGAGAAGCAAGAGTGCGCCACCACTCAGCCACCGAGCTGTGCTGCCCGAATGAAATAACACTAACACTGACAAACATCAGGTTCAGTGCTACTCGAGTTCAGACTCCGGTGGCCTATTTGTTATTTTCTTTTGTCTGTCTGTATGTTTTAAAATGGACCTAGAATCTGTAATAAAGCTAAATTGAATTGAATTCTAAAAGCATTTATTTGTCTGTTATCGTATTGCTCATATATGGTCTATGCTCTCTTGATATTGTTGTTAAAATGATCAGAAGCCCATGATGATCACAAGAGTCTTGTAAATACTCCATTCACTCTTCTGCAAAGACAAGGAACCAGTGACGCACGGTCAGGGGAAGACAGTGACTCAGTGCCTCATCTGCAATCAAAGAAAATATACTAAAAATACCAAAGTACATGGTTATATTTATCGAGTGATTTGTACTAATGTGTTTCATTCCACATAACTTCACCTTATTTATACAGTTTCTTACTCAAGTTTGCAGAATTTTGTCATAGCTCCTATTGTAAAAACCATGTCCATAGTTTAGCGGTGCATCATATAATGTTTTTGTCCACAAATATGTGACTTCAACGACCCTCTGCTTCAAAATGAGAAGGAGGTTTATTTATCAAATCGAATGCACCAGAGAGTCGGATACGGACAGATGTCTAAACAAATTCACACGTTCGTGGATATGGATGTTGTGGATTCTACGTACAGCACACGCTTAAACAAGAACACTGTGTGTGTCAACATTTATCCAATCATGAAATTCTATATTCTATATATATCATTAAATGTTTAAAAGTGTTTGTGTATCCATCATTAAGTGTTCCCATAAAAGATGGGTTTTCATATTAGCCCAAGTTCAGTGCTAATCAAGGACATTTTGATAAAACTGTTTTAACTATTTTGTGAGTCAGTCTGAGCCAGGGACAGGAGGGAGGGGGACTTTGCTGAGAACCTGGGAGTGCTCTATAAGTTTCAAGGCCTGGAGGGGCTGTTAATTTCAGCTTATAAGAATAACTTGTATTAGTATTGAACTGTAACTAGAAATACATGTTATTCATTTTTCTTGGTCTTCCTTTCTGGTCAAATTCTGAACCATGCTATGAAAATGTAAATATAAATGAGATGAAGCCAGTGCCTCGCCAACCACGACCCTCACTGCACGTGTAAGGTGCACGGGGCTGATGCATCCTGCAGTTCCAGCTGGCTGATTCAGCAGCGACTCAAGGGCAGGCGGAAGACCATCTGTTTACTGGGCTACACCACTGACTACCTCCCACCATAATGCGTCACACGTCCTGAACCTGCAGCAGACACTTCATACACTTTAATGATCATAAGATTACACTTGTACCATCGTCACTTTAAGGACCAGCACTAGGACTGAAAGTACTTGCACTCCTACACTCACTTTTAATTTTACTGTACATGATATATCTCTTCTAAGTAGCTCTGAAACTGTTGTTTTTCTATGCAATTTTTATTTGTATTGCTTTTTTCTGCCTGTGATGTTGCTGCAGTACAGTGTTCATGGTTTTACACTGGTCCAGACCAGAGCAGAGAGGATTCATGGTCTGAACCAAGTGGATCAGGTAAAAATCAGCTGAAGGAATGCTAACTTTTTGAAAAATGCTAATGAAGCATTAGCATTTTACTTTGGACCAGAGCAGAGAAAATGGTCCGAACCAAGCGGCTACTCCACTTTTTGACCCGTCCTGCTCCACCCAGAGGCTACTCCACCTCTGCTGCTGTGACCTGAAGGACTGTTGCTATCTTTTTAGAATGTTCAATTTTATTTTTACTGCTACTGGACACCTGAATTTCTCCTGCAGGGATCAATAAAGTATCTATCTATCTATCCATCTAGCAATCTATATCTTGCACAAAGAGAGAAAATCTTAACCTCTTTGCATAACCTGAGTGATTCTATTTATGCCAAATGTGATGTTGATATTTCTCCATTGTGAGATCAATAAAGTTTTTCTTTTCTTCTTTTGGTTCATGGCCACCAGGATTTACAGCTGTATAGAAGGTCCAATATTTCTCCTTCATTCCTTATTCAGCCAGCCCTCATTGCCATTTGTACCATGTGGTATTGTTCCTGCTTTAGCTAAACCGCACAGGGGACATGAAGCTTTGAGCCGCGTTGTGGGCTGTTTGGCTGCGGTGCTTGTTATGAAGTATGAATGAGCTCAAAGAAAATGTGTCCTTGTCCTTACTGCCCGATCTACCCAAAGTTGTATGTGGTGAAGGAACAAAATGTAACACCATAATCTCTCAAACGTAATGACCTTTTGTTAAATCTCATCAAATGTAAAAGTCTTTATGGCCGTAAATAGTTCCATAAAGCATTTAAAGGGGCATTATACAACTTTTTATGTGAACATTTTATTATTTTACACTGCAAAGAGCGATGAAAAATCAAGTAAAAAATTGCTCAAATTTGGCAAAAGTATTGTAATTTGAGCACTTTCTGACTGACTACAGAAGTAGATACAAGAAATGTCTTTTTAGGAATGAGAAAATAAAGCAACTGTTCTTGAAATTAGAAATGTT